GATTGTAATGCATCCTACATTGGTCAGACAGGTAGGAGTTTTGAGATTCGGGCCTCTGAACACAATAGACTTATCCACAAATTTCTGAACTCAGAAAATCACAATACCACATCTTCTTTTGCCAACCATATCATTGATTCAAACCATAGTTTTAATGTTAATTCTAATATGGATATTATACATGTTTGCAACAAAGGTCCACGGCTTAACCTTCTTGAGATTTTAGAAATTCAAAAATGCATCAATAATCCTCAGAGTATTTGTTTAAATGATCAGACCAACTTTGACCGTAATCATATTTTCCGTACATTACAATTTTCATAATAATCACACATTGGTTTCCCTGCGCTAGAGCCTGTCCTGTATCCTTTATCTTGACAGAATGTTGGTTCTTCTGCTTCTCTTTCTTTATCATAATCATTTATTCTTCTTTCTTGAATTTTGTTTGCTCTTCTTGACCCTTTTCGCGTACATCTCTATCATCAATTATTGTTTTTGTTTACATAGTTTTATTGAATTGTATAACTTTTTAGCGTCAATAATGTCAATTTTTGAATTTGAAACTCATCTTTCATATGTTTGACTGTCATTCAAAATGTTTTACGCTGACTTTGAAATTGTCATTTTGTGATGTCAATGTCAAATCATCACTTCCATTTCACCTACGGCGTTGTCTTTCCTGTTGATGGCCTGACCGCTGATGAAGCTCCGTTGAGTTGATTAATTAATCAAAATTTTTTGAATTTTCTAATGTTGAACTTACTCATCGTAATGTTCTTTTGGCTTTTCAGCCGTTTTAAATTTTACTAGTTCCAATTTGGACGGATGATTCGATGCTGACCTACTAGTTAGTTTTTAATTAGTATACTTTTCTCCATAAGGTATGTTCTTTCGCAGCCACCATATTGTCTAGATTTAACAACTTATAATTTTCTAGGTACTTTTTTACATTGTGTCTGAAGATGGCCGTTGAGCCGAAACTATAGTCACGCCTTTTATTAAATTTTGTGGTCGACCGACTTTGAGTTATTGTTTTTCTCCCTTTGAAAAATACTGGGCCACTTTGAGAATGGATGGTTTCCATGACTTATATATCACGTTGTAGTTTCCTTCTTAGTTTCGATTTCAAATTTTCAATTTCATTGTGTAATTTTACGATCATTGCCTCTTTCAATGATTATTTTGTTCTGTATTTCGTGTGATGATAATGGAATTTTGTTCTTGAAATCGTCTGCTTTGTAAATTGATGGAACAGCAGATTCTCTCAAACAGATTTTGAAATCTTCTGTTTGAAACTGGGCCTAAAATATAGTTTCATTCTAATCAGATGCTGTTATGAGAAGTGAATTTTAATGAGTACCTCACAAATTTCGCTCGTCTTCAAATTGATTTTCCACCCAGGCCGTTTCATATTTTCCTTCCATAAGCGAATGGTTGATATTTGTTTTGGAAAATTGAATAAATAATATCGTTTTTTTCAGAATTGGCACAATTTATTACACAGCAAGTGATTTCCATGGCTGATTTTTTCTCGAAAGTATAATTATGAAATTTTATTTCAATTCTGACGTTTATAAAATTTATTGTCAAATTCAAACAATTTTGAATGAAAAAGCGCGGGACGACTATGGTGCTATTGTCACAATGCAAGGTGTGTAGCTTACATTCAAAAACCCTAACCGTTGTCATTTCTGTGTCCGAACTCTTATCAAACTAATACCATCCCGTGACTCGTAGTTCTCTCCAAAATGTGAACGTGTGTATCCCCAATGGAATACGAAATAATATTGTAATAAAATTATAGTTGGAGATTAAATCGGATAAATTGGTTTGTCTTTGTTTATAATTTGTCCGCATCATGAAATTCTTTCATTAAGAATACAGTAAATGTTTCATGACAATAATTTGGAGTACTTCTTTTTATAAGTACCTCTTCATCGTTGAATTTGCAATATACTTCCAACAAAATTATGAATTCTGGGAAGTTATCTCCTCTATTTTCTTGAAACCTCCACCTAGTCATCACTATTTGATGATGATAATTAAATTGCCATTATAACAATTTGGTTTTCAAACTATTCATATTCAATGTTTCCCGCCATTTTCAAAACTGCACTGACTCCGAACGACCTATTCGCGGAAATCAATTTTACCAGGTGGCGCTCGGTTTCCATCGTTCCATGTCAAAGCCTCGTCAAAACTGGGGGAAAACAAACTCAATCCACACTCAACCCCATTAGTGCCATTAGCTTGTGTACTGTGTACTGATAAGTGTGAAGTTTTTAAATTTCTTGACATTAATTGTCAATATTCGATCGAAAACACTAATAATGCCTGTTGTAGATGTTCTTTTGGCAGATATTTTGCTCTATATTTAGATGGAAAGCCGACCAGCAGTGGAAGAAGAAGCAGTTCTCCGTGCTAATCATGTGATCTAGTGTGAGGCAGAAGACTTAAACAAAAGGCACATTTTTGCACTTTGTCTACAAACTTCGGCGATGAAATCTTCCCCACATGAAGTAAAATTGAAGTTGGGGTCCAGAGGAACTCCTGTAGAACAATGGATTTGTATTTGTTCATGCAAAGCAGGACCAGGACAATCTGGGAATTGTAAACATGTTGTAGCTGTTCTTTGATATGTCAATTGATTTGCTCTTCATAATAAGTTTGAATTGTTTGAACTATCTCCAATGCTTCACCCGTTCACTCAACCATCATCACTACCAACAGTGCCAACACTTTATGTCATTGACAAGTTCAACTACAGCTACAGCAAGCTGAATGCAATGTAGTCTATGCACTTTATCCATAGACAACAGTTTCTTTTCCACCAGTTTGAAGTTCGTATTATGTAACCTACTTCGTGAATCTCGCGAATCAGAACTCGTGCAAGAATTGTTACACTGAGCTCTAAAACTATGTGAACCAGTTTTCCAATGGAATTCAAAACCCGAAACCAGTTTTACCAATGGAATACAAAATGTGCACTCAGTGCGAGCTAGTTTCACCAATGAAATCCGCTATCAGTGAAACATTTTCTTTCATTATTTCGGAACTCTAATGGCGCGTTCACATGCTGGCTTTTCGCCTCTTGGCTTATGGCGTATTGTGATTCGATTGGCTGATTTATGTGAAAGCGCATATCAAGGTCATATGCCAAAAAGTCGATTACGATCCGACTTTTTGCCTAAAAGAAGCTCCGATTTCCAGGGTTTTACCTTTTCAGGTTTGTTGTTGCCGTCAACTGTGGTGAGAAATGTCATATTTAAATATGGAAAATAGTGAAATTTTGGTACAATTTTCAGTTATAGTTAATAACATTTCTGTAGAATTCACGGTCACCAATGAAGATTACTGAATTCTGTCAACAGATTAGTATTGTTTCCTACTTTTTGATATATTGTTTTCTTTTATTTAATTTCAATTAGTTTCTCTTTTGAATTCCTTCTACAATAGGAGCCAACAGAAGGAAATTTCTAAAATGAGGCAAAAGCTTGGATTCGTGCAGTCAAATGGGACAACTGGTCTAAAATGCTGACGAAATATGGCCAGTGTGTTACATGTTCACTCTATTAGCTTCTATTACAGAAATGTCAGAAAGCATTCTAGGAGAAAAGAAAACATTTTCAAATGAAAACTATATGTGAGTGACTCCAGTGACTTTAGTACTTTTAGATCACAATTTACCTAAAAATCTTATTCCTTCGTCTCTCGCTGCATCTTTTGTACATTGGACAACTGCACAATGTGATGGCATGCTTGAATTAATAATATAGCTCAAAAAACACGATTTGTATGCCATTATAATTGTGAAAAACTATTTCAATCCTGCGTGAACAAATAAGAAGAGTGAGGTTGTTGTACCTCCAGGGTCGAAAAGTGAGTTTTTTTACCTCCAGGGTCGGTCCCCGCGACCTATGCAACCAATATTCAATTTTTGAGGTTAGCTGTCAATTTATTGTTTTAGTTATTACTCGCTGCACTCGCTTACTTTAGTTTCTTTAAAATGTCTCGAAAGCGTCTCCACTGTAGAAGATTGTCAAAAGCCCGTGCAGCAAAAGTTTCACATTGCACGAAATCAACGCGAGCGAAGCAGCAGGTGAAATCTAGTAATTCATGAATACTTCAATAAGTATTAGTAATATCCTTAGTTAGCTACAAAAAGTCTATTGTCTCAAAATTTTACCTCTCATATGTTGTGTCTTGTTCCTTATGATGGTATTAATAATAATTATATAAATTGTCACTAGAGGACTTTTGGTCCGGCAAACATGACAAAACAGGACTGTGGGCGTTGTCTTGTCAGTTCTCCGCATTCAGCACAGCACTACCAAGTCTTTATAGCCAATATTTACATGATGTTTTCTTATGAAGTATAAGAAATATTTTGACAAGCTGGTTGCTCGACAAAGTCACAAATTATAATTAATAACTATAATATCATGGCTTCCTCCTATTAGATCGAATGAAATAACATATTTGGATTTAGTTTTATTCAACAATAGGGCTCTAACAACTTTTTTATAACTTGATTATAATTGGTGATCTGACAACCTTGCTTTAGTAGTGATAATGAAAGATTATCTGACAAAAACTGAAACAGCATAACAGCTGACGTCATCATATATCCGACGTATCTGAGAACATGACCGAATGGCGGCCATGACGGCACGTTTGAAATGAGCTTTGAAATTTAACAATTTCACACAATGCATAGACATTATTTACATAAAAAACGCGTAAGAAATGCTGCAAAAATGTATTCTGGTCCATATCGGCACAGTGGAGTAATTGAATGCCAATCATTCAATAGCAATCCACTAGCCTATTCAAATTCATGATTGTACAAATTTTTATCCACAAGAGTCATAGCAAACCAAACGTACATACATTATTTGTTTATGATCATTCCAATGAGATTTACATCTTGACAGGTGGCCACGTGAAGGCAAAGTTTGAGTAATTGTTACACAAATTGTCAACATTTTTCAAATACGTACCGTTATTCGTTTGACCAGCGAGATTCAGCGGAAACAGATGCCCCTCGGTGGTAAACAAAAACTCGTCCAAATTCAAAACGAGATCCTCCTTGTCGGCGAACAACAAATACAGATACTTGAACGTCTCAGCCAAGACGAACGAGTCCATCCTGTCCTCCTTCTTGCCAGTCCTGACGTCATTGACAGCAGCATAACCACAAGGCACTCTGGCATACTTCTGCAAACTCTTCAATACTTTTCTCCCCACCTCGAGGTAGTACGGATCGCCGGTGGCGCTGTAGAGGAAGTACGTGGATTCGAGGAACTCGGGGCGCAGCGGGTGGTTGCCCCAGTGGACCTGGAAATCGGTGGTGAAGGCTTCGGGGATGAACTTGTGGCGTTGCATCACCTGGTAGAGCATCTCGTGCGTTTCGATCGCCGGTTTTATGTCGCCTTTGAGGACTTGCAAGCCTGGCCAGAAGGCTAACAGGGCGTCCATGAAGTTGCGGGAGTTGGTGTGCGGCCTGAGAGTTGGGATTTATTACGAAACTGTCTTGAAACGTAACGCATTCGCCACAATAGCGTAACGTATAACAGGCCTATTCAGTATCTCATAACGTTATCGTTACGTGTCGTTAGTGGATGACATATCTTTAAATAGAGATAATTTTCTTGAATCGAATTCACTTCCGATTTGACAGTCGGTAACGAACGACAAGCTGTCATCAGAACATCGTTTATAGACGATAGCTATTCAGAGTATCGGTAGGATAACATGAACACAAAACAATGAACATAATATCCTCTCATCCATCGGCTTTCTGTTGGAGATGGATCCAGTCAGTCTCTTTAAATTTTCAGAAGGGTTTAAGAGGAGTTAAATATAAATATTTGTTGATATTCACCGTTTATTTCGATTCAGACAAGTGGATACAAATTTGAATAGACGCTTGAGGGACGCTAGTAAACCATTCGAAAGTCCTATGAAGGAAACTTTCGGGAGGATTGTCGGTTACCCAGAGAGCTATAGTTTGGGGGGTATTTTCTCATAATATGTTGCAGCATCCCAAGGAGGCCAATAGGAACACTAGTATATACCATCAGTTGAAAATATAATCGGAAAGTACCTACGTACTGATGTACCTATCTGTTGTTACCAAAAATCTATAGAAAGAGACAAATCATGAGCTATGTCCCAAGCAGATGTATCTATGAATATTAGACATACTTGTAGACAATTACCCTCGCAATTACCTCACTGTACCAAATCTTCAAGATATTGTACATGTTAAAAATGGGTATGAATTCAAGTAACAAAATAGGTAGATTGAGAACTGAATTATTCAAAACTCTAAATTATCTCTTATCTAATTTTTTCCAAAACCCATATGGAAATAATACGTAGGTACTGGTCTCTATTGCTTTTCATTCCTCATTGGGCCTCTGGACCTATTCATTATAGATCCAAACCACTCCAAGTTCCTTCCAGGATATTGGGGTTTGTGGGTTCATATTGATTTGATGGAAAGTATTTGTTTCCCTGCAGTTCCTCCACGTATATTCAAATAATAACGAATCACTGTTTGAATATTTTGGCACTCCAGTGACAGTAAGCAATCCTACTTCCCTTAGAAAACATCATTTTCTCCAATTATTATAAAAGACTCGGTAGAAGATCTCTGATCAATATGATAATCATAACGATTTGTCAATTTTAGACAAATAATGACACATTATGTCATACTATCTATTCTGAAAAAATATACTCCTTGTTAATTTTCGAATATTTCAACGACATATCTTACAGAATTCATTTTTTCATCAAGTCGTTCGAATTGTCGTTACATATAAGGATAACGATAATTGTTATCTAACGACTCGTAGAATAACGGCTTTTTACTGAATAGGCCTGTAAGTCACAATAGCGTAACGCATAAGTCACGATAGCGCAACGCATAAGTTACGATAGCGTTACGCATAATTCACCTTAGTGAAACGGATTTGTCACACATTCGACAGCGCGCTGGAAATAGTGGGGAAACGTGACACGAGCCATTGTCGATTTAAATGAAAACCTAGTAGGCGACCTAGTGCGAGGAGGTATAATATTGTCTGTTCATTCAATCAAAATATGTCTGTCTGTCAAGTGGCGCTGGGGATGAGAAAATGGAAAGAGCTCATTTGTTTATGTCAAAATAGACCATATTAGGTTGATATTCTCTTCTTCTATTTTTTTTTCCAATATGTACTCAACCACAGATGTGCTTTCCATCATTGACGTGATATTTGATACAAAGGCGATGAAGAAGATTCTTTCATGAGATTGAGATGTCATAATCAAAAAAATATTTTCTGACAGTTGTCATTAACTTATAACTTCGTCTTTGTGAATATGTTATACTTTGAATTCGTATTCTTGAAAATTACAATTATTCCTAATTATTTCTTCTAGTATTGGTTTTCTATTGCAGTTTGTTGATTGGTTCGTGAGTGCGATTGTGTTATTTTGCGATGTTATCTGAAAACTTCGCACTCCAGGAGGTGGAGGTGTAAAATTATCAAGACCTGGTTTCCCCTATACTCACTGTTGTGAATTTGAGCCACAAATCCTGAGGCATCAATGAGTTTATGCCATATTCATTGGATTGCAAGGTGAAATTTTTTTCTTGAATCGCATAATATTTGAAACTTGATGCATTGATATTTCAGGAATGGGAGTTTTTGAAGTGAGCGAACATGATACTGTATGTTTCCAACATTTTAAGGGAACTGTTTCTTGCCAATGAAGAATTGGAAATGGTTTTGGAAGGAGGGTTCCGTTCCAAGTTTGTTAAAGGAAGGTATATATAAATAAAATGATATTTAACAAGTTCCTACCTATACAAACTCTTTGTAGCAATCAGCTTATTAGTTTCTAGTTGACTGGAACTATTAGTTTCAGTACAAAAATTACCAAGAACTTGACTTTGGGACCTCTAAAAATTGTTCCATAGTCAATTGTCATTAAATTCATTTCAGCATGGTACATATCATTGAAACTGGGGACAAAATAGATATCAAATATTTTTATAGTTACAGACTTATCAATGTAGTTTGGAAAATGATGCTGAAGAGGAACTCCTTCCTTAAGGAACACGACCTGAAGATTAAGAAGAATCTGAGGAGGAAACGGGCATTCGAACAGATATTATAGAATGATAAAGGAACACGACCTGAAGATTAAGAAGAATCTGAGGAGGAAACGGGCATTCGAACAGATATTATAGAATGATAATAAATAATAATGAAGTTTATTCAAAATGATTTCATAATATAAATTAAAAAGTTATACATATTGGTATTGAATATTCCTATGGAAATTAAAATTTATACATATTGGTATTGAATATTCCTATGGTTCAATTTGTGGCAATTATAGACACATCTTCCCATATTTAGTGAAGTTAGTGGATAAGATGATTTTATAAAAAATAATCATTGTTCAGCAAAACATATATTAAACCTATATACCTTTGGTACAATAATATATATAATATAGTGTTTTCAAACTTACCTGCCAATACATCTGTACAACAATAAACAGGGTATCAGAGGAGAACAAATTAGTAGAATGAAAATTGCAATAATTCTTCATAATTATATTCAATTTATTAAAAAATATATTTGTATTGTCATTCGTACATATACAAGTTATTTTCCAATAAAAAAAATTCTAAATATCCCAGCATCTTGATATTTTGTGTTTGGAGCAGAATATCCATAAGACATTGATGAAATAAACAGATTGAGTCTAACCTTATTGCTTCTATATATTCCTTTCAGATGGGAAATTTTCCATTCTGTTCTCAAACATCATCATCGTTCTGGTACATTTCTTCTGAACATTACTCACATAATGATTCCTGATGTGATTCTTACACATCAATTTGTTTGTATCACTCATAGTTTTTCGTTTTTTAACTGAAAAGCTATTCATGTAGGTACTCTTCGCTGTAGGTAGGTACCTGAAATTTTTAAGTATAGTGATTCCGATGTGTACATAGTTTACATCACTTAAGACATGTTTTCACTGCAAATAACGGAATTCCATGAATTATATAGTAACTTATTAAAAATATAGAAGGAAATAAGCAGCCCCTACCTTTCTGCTTGGCTTGCATGTCGAAAAAGTGTGGAAGCAATGATGAGAATCCGAAGTTTCCACAGTTCCAACTTAAATTCAAGTTGCACCATAAGTCAACCTGATACAGCATTGCCTAAACATCTCCCTGCTTCCATTCAAGTATAGGTAGATGGTTTTCATACTTGATAATATCTTTCGTGATAATGTTTCATTTTCGGGTTTCAACATGACAGATTTTTATTTACAAACTTGACAGGACCATGAAAAATGTTATGGGTTAGGAATAAAAAATGAATAACTTAGTTTACTTAGTTCACGTAGATGTCTGTGAACTACATATTTTTTTCAATTGTCTTTTCAATGAACAGACAATATTATAGCTCCTGCCTACTAACTACCTAACTAGGTTGTCATCTAGAACGACAATGCACGAGCGCCACACATGCGTAAGAATATCAAAAATCGTGGTAAAGTGTAGCGCATACGTCAAAATGTCTGAAAAAACGAATGTCACACGTCACACGGCATGGAAACGTCGATAATACACCGAAAAACTTGAAAGAGCATAACCAATTTTATACAGAACGTAAAACACAGTTTCTCAAAAAGAAGAAAACATGAAAATACGGTTCACGCTTTGAGGTACCAAATAAAAATTGTATAGTGGTGAAAAATTCCTAGAAACTCGGGGCGCAACGGATGGTTGTCTCAGTGGATATGGAAGTCGGTGGCAAAGGCTTCTTGGATGAACTTGTGGCGTTGCATCACCTGGCTTCCCGTGCGTTTCAATCGCCGGTTTTATGTCGCCTTTGGGAACTTGCAAGCCGGCCAAACGGCCAATATGGCGTCCATGTAGTAGCGAGAGTTGGCGTGCGGCCTAAAAGTCGAGATTTGTCGAAACACCGTTGAGAATTATGCTGAAGTGTAACGCATACGTCACAAAAGCGATCCGCAAACTCCACACATCAGTCAAAATGCCGATAATCATGGTAAATCGAAACTCATTCGTTATAACATCTAAAAAACCGGCATGTCACAGCATCAAATCGTCTAATAAAAAAAAAGTCAACATCCTATACAAAACATAGAGAAAACTTGACACGTACAAACTTCAAACATTCATTTGAAAAACGTGAAAAGACATAACGTAAGCTTCCCGCATTTTCGACGTAGTAAAAATTCGTGGAACTTGGAGCGCAGAGGGTGGTTGCCCCAGTGAACTTGTACCGCTTTCATGTCGCCTTGAGGACTTGTAAGTCCGGCCAGGGGTCTTATTCATGAATTGAGGGAACTCCGCCGACAGAAAGGTGGGCGTGTAGTTCACTTTAGAAAAAAATTATTGAATGCTGCTTCTCTCGATAAATTGCAATAGAAACAGGAACTCCGTTCCGTCTTTCTCTCATAATCCACCGAAAAAAACTGTGGAAAACGACATTGTTGACATTTTAAACCCAGCGTTCCCTCGAGGTAATCGTTCTCTCGCTTCAAATATGAATCCCTAGAATGCCAATAAAACGTCTATGGGGTTCGTGTACGCCCTAAATACGGGATTCGCCTTGATATCGTGAAAACACGCCAAAAAAAAATGCGGCAAAAAGGTCACACCATGGTACTTCTAGAAACGTGAAGGAAAGGAACAAATAAGTCACATGTGCATCAGAACGTCAAAATCCTGTAGACGTACGTCTCACATGCAACAAAAAAAGTAATAAACCGTGAAAGTCGAAAACTTCACGAAATTTCAACGTGTTTTCGACGCAATAATGCACAAATCGAAAATATAATACTGAAGGCTTTGAGGAAAAATGTGGAGAAGCTTGAAAATTTGACAACGCGACTATAAATCTACATACATTGAAATGTGAGCACGTGAAAAAATCGTAACGTACGAACATGTGCATGTGAACGTCCAGCAGCATCGGCCCCTGCGAGATGTTACTTCATCACCGCCGTGTAGTGCCTGTCGAACCTGTCTAGGTACTTGCCCTCGCCGAGCAGGATGTACGCCTTGAGGCAGTACTCCTAGTACGAATCCATGTCGGCGCCCTCTCCCGAATTACTACGACCCACCCAATCAGTAACGTCAAGACGTCTTGAGGCCGTAAAGCCACGAAAAATGTGCAACGTATGCAAAACACCACCAACGTGATGCTATTCCAACGCTCGTACTCACCTGTGCATGTGAATGTCCAGCATCATCGGCCCCTGCGAGATGTACTTCATCACCGCCGTGTAGTGCCTGTCGAACCTGTCCAGGTACTTGCCCTCGCCTAGCAGGATGTACGCCTTGAGGCAGTACTCGTTGTACGAATCGATGCCGGCACCCTCTCCCAAATCACGACATACCCAAACAATAACGTCAAAACGTCTTGAGGCCGTAAAACCACGAAAAATGCGCAACGTATGCAAAACACCACCAACGTGACGCTATTCCAACGCTCGTACTCACCTGTGCATGTGAACGTCCAGCAGCATCGGCCCCTGCGAGATGTACTTGATCACCGCCGTGTTGTGCCTGTCGAACCTGTCCAGGTACTTCCCCTCGCCGAGCAGGATGTACGCCTTGGGGCAGTATTCGTAGTACGAATCGATGCCAGCGACCCACCCAATCAATAACGTCAAAACGTCTTGAGACCGTAAAACTATGAAAAATGCGTAACGTGTGCGACCAAACCTTAAAACACCATGAACGTCACGCTCATTCACACCTGTGCATGTAAAATTCCAGCAGCATCGGCCCCTGAGAGATATACCTCATCACCGCCGTGTAGTGCCTGTCGAACCTGTCCAGGTACTTCCCCTCGCCGAGCAGGATGTACGCCTTGAGGCAGTACACCTAGTACGAATCCATGCCGGCGCCCTCCCCCGAATTACTACGACCCACCCAATCAGTAACGTCAAAACGTCTTGAGGCCGTAAAACCACGAAAAATGCGCAACGTATGCAAAACACCGCCAACGTCACGCTATTCCAACGCTTGTACTCACCTGTGCATGTGAACGTCCAGCAGCATTGGCCCCTGCGAGATGTACTTCATCACCGCCGTGTAGTGCCTGTCGAACCTGTCCAGGTACTTGCCCTCGCCCAGTAGGATGTACGCCTTGAGGCAGTACTCGTAGTACGAATCGATGCCAGCGCCCACCCCCGAATCACGACATACCCAATCAATAACGTCAAAACGTCTTGAGGCAGTAAAATCACGAAAAATGCGCAACGTATGCAAAACATCACCAACGTCACGCTATTCCAACGCTCGTACTCACCTGTGCATGTGAACGTCCAGCAGCATCGGCCCCTGCGAGATGTACTTCATCACCGCCGTGTAGTGCCTGTCGAACCTGTCCAGGTACTTGCCCTCGCCCAGCAGGATGTACGCCTTGAGGCAGTATTCGTAGTACGAATCGATACCAGCGCCCACCCCCGAATCACGACGCACCCAATCGCCGGAATGGACGTTGAGGACGGTGCCCATGAGGTCGCTGCTGCGGTGGCGCATCTTCCACAGCTCGTCCATGGCCTTCTGGGCCTTGGCCTCGAAGAGGGGCTCGCCGGTGAGGCGGGACAGGGCGGCCATCTCGAGGATCATGGAGCCGGCGCAAGCGGTGCAGGTTTCGCGGGCCGATTCTAGGCGGTCGCTTTTTAGACCAAATTTCAGATTCACCTGATAATAATGATTATATTTATTGATCCAAAGAAACATACATGTTTATGGAGGGACACGAGAAAAATGAATTAACAAATCGAATATCCAATAAAATGGACAATAAACAGTTTCATCAGAATTGATATGAACGAGATATACAAGGTAATTCTAAAATAGGTGGTCAAACTTTGAGAGTATATAGAGTGAGTGAAATAATTACGAAAACCTCGGTAACATTTTTTTTCTGAAGTGCCCCCCAAGAAAAATACAGCCCCTCAAAGAGGGGCATCGGAGAATGATTTTGTGCCATTATCTCCAACACCTCGTATGATGAAAATCTGAAATTTCGTTTATCCACTAACTATTCAGTGCCGGTTCGAATGGAGTTAAAATCACCTCAAAATTAAATACAGGGGTGTGTCAAAACAGGGAGGTAGGGGGTAAAAATAACTCCAACTTTTTTGTTCATCGCAATTTCAGTTTTTCCACATGAAATTATGAAATCTCAGGGCTATCAACATAGAAAATGAGCTCTTGTTGAATCACGATAAACTGAACCATTAGCGAATAAAATGTATTCTTCCAAGATTTCATTTAAATTGCAATTTTGGTATGCACTCAAGTTTAATTATCTAGTTCAAATCTTGCAACTGAATTTTTACCTACTTCTAATCGTCTAAACAACTTGGAATCTGGCAGATGACAGTTGACAACGCGTTATGGACTTTTTGATAGAAAAAAATATGGCGGCTCAAATATGGCGGCTCCAATGTGGCTGACCAGATTTGTGATTATGGTTCGATTCGATTCAAAATTGGTTTGTAAGGGTTTTTGGGGTTGGAAATTTTGAATTCGTTGTCGGAATTGAAGAATAAAAAATAGACGACGTGTTTCGTGATTATGGTCTGATCCTATTGAAAATACTAAAATAAAAAATATTGTTGAAAACAAGCTTTTTTTTTCATAATTTCATGTCAAAAAACTGAAATAGCGATGAACAAAAAAGATGGGGTTATTTTTACCCCCTACCTCCCTATTTTGACACACCCCTGTATTTTATTTTGAGGTGATTTTAACTCCTTTCGAACCAGCATTGAATAATAAGTATATAGACAAAATTTCAGATTTTCATTATACAAGGTATTGGAGATAATAATACAAAATCATACTCCGAGGCCCCCCTTTTAGGAGCTGTATCTTTCTTGGGGGTCACTTCAGAAAAAAATGTTACAGAGGTTTTCGTAACTATTTCACCCACTCTATATGCTCCCAAAGTTTGAGCACCTATTTCAGAATCACCTTGTATTTTTCATCAGTATTATGACGTGATAGATAGACTGTTGGGTAGAATATTTAACTATACTACAAAAATATGTTTTTTTATTTAAATTGGGTTTTTATTTCGATAGTTCTCAAATTATAGCTTCTTCTTGTGTGATGCTCATGGGTATCAGAGTTGAGACATTGAAAGTAGGATTGGAGTACTTTTTCTTATTTATGGATGAAAATACATAATTTCATTCTGAAGAGAGAGTCAATATCTAATGTTGGTGATCTTCAAATTTATTTATTTTTTCTCGAATGAAACTTTTCCACCAGAAATCCTGAACTGAAATTTGGAAATGACCAGCTCCCAAATCATATGATGAAGAGCTTGGGAATTGTGGTAAATAACGCAACACGCATGAGGTAGAAACGAGCAAAACATTAGAATAAACGAGTAGTATGGAGAAGCATCAAAATGAATTTAATTTACAACCATATAATATATGTAATGTTGTCATTACTATAACGTCATTGAAGGTTGGGAAGTGTGACATAACACACCTCTACTTCCCTCCCACATTATGTAATATTTTAGGTATGTTCAGAACGAAACAGAGATTTGATCGAAATTTGATGGTTGAAAATAAAATAGTATACCAACCTCGGTAGGAAGTTTCATTCCTGTCTCAAGATCATAGTTAACCTCGACGTTTTGCGTCTCGGTTAACTAACTAATCTCACGACAGGATTGAATCTTTTCCCACGGTGTGTAATATACTATTGTTATTTATCTCGAGAACCAAGAAAAATTATAAAAATACTGCAGTTATAAAAAAGTGAGAAAATTGATTGTGTGATTTTTTGAAATATCAAAATGTGCCGTACTCCAAAAAAAGTTGCATGAACCCTAACTCTCTGTAAATTCATTGAATTGGTACATATATTTTCCATGCATATTCACTATAGTAAATTGCCCTACCAATTTCAGACCAGTACCTTGCAAGAATTTCGAAATAATGAAGAAAATCTGAGAATAAAATTGTTCTCCACCGCCCGCTTGCGGCTAAACTGGTACATTTTCGTATTTTCGGTAAGTTGATTTCAATATTTTCAACCGGCCTATTTTGGTCTCTAGTTCACCCTGTAGAATTTATGGCACGTTATACTGGGAGACCTTGTATATTCGAATAATTGACGAATATACTATGACTACTGACTCCTCGGTTTATATGGCATTGAAATAAGTGCTCGAAGCTCGACGTATACTATTTTTCCCCTTTTTTCCATCCAAAGGTTTACACTGTAGCAACTCTGACGTCACCTGTGTTCAAATGTTTGTGCGGAAGGCACAATCACGCGGAGTTCAATTATTTGAATTGTTTTAAAGTGGAGTAGGTACTTGATTTTTTTGTTTTTTTTTTCGTTTTTTTTTTTCAATTTTCGGGATGAAATTTCTCTCTGATTAGAAGAATTGGAAAATTCGGATACCATGGGAATATTCGTTAGACTATCATATTGATGTGCTGAATATGTGCACTTATTTCAAAAACACCTCGTATAATTGCTCATTTATATGAATTTTGGAATATTTCAAGACAGTCGGAACAAATAATCCTTACATGACTCAAAATATTTTTTTTTTACAAATAATACAATATCTTTGTGTCTTTGTGACACCCAGAAGACGTTTTTCTAGTCCCATGAGGAATATATAGTTGTTCTTTATGACAAACTGTAGTACTTACTACAACATGCACGTCGGTTAGTACATATTCACTGCCAAAGAACGGCGCGAGGCCGTGCCCAATGGGTCCCGACCCCCTTCCCCCGAAATGAAGACCTAAATCCAACTTTTTCTCCGAAAGAAACTTTCAATTAGCTGTTATTATTTTTTCTTGAACCCCCCGAAAAAAAATCTTGGGAACGGCGCATCTTCTAGTCAACACAAAAGTCTTTTGTTCCTTCTTGTAGTTCCTAGTTAACAATTTCAGCTGAAATGACATCCCATCATATAATAATTCTGACTTGGTTGAAATTTTCACGCAACGTAAATAGTGGCACTGGGTCTGTCATGCCGTTCAAGCAACATAAACATCTTTACCGAAATCTGGTCAAGTTGTTATTGCAGCAAATGTGACATACCCAAGACCTAGTGAAAGGTTAAACGGCAAAATTTTGGGATTTTTTACTTTGACATTGACCTCCTGATTTAGTAACACCAACCTGTAAGACTGAAAATGTTAGCAAGAGTTTGGAACTTTTTGTGGGATCCAAATTGAATATCAATCTAGGATATTTTCAGCCATAATTTAATAGAAGTGAGATCTTGTTCCATTCAGTATTTTATCTCTTGGATATTTTTTGCTGGGAGCTGATTGTTTTTATGTAAGAGGTATAAGTTATAAGATTTATACTAGGCGTTCGCTTTTTAAGCAGAAGTTGAAATTCACCTAGGTATAATTGTTCAATTGGTTGTTTTCTTGTATTCCTGCTGAAAAATAAACATACCTTACCTATAAGTGGTTTATGAAAGAATTTGAGGTTGTATGACTTAAAGAATACTAGGCGGGCGCTTTGCAAGCAGTATTTTGAACTGTTCTAAGGATAGTAATTTTGTTGTTTATTTTCATTTAAAATGAACGTAAGCTTATTGGTGAATCATGGATGCTATCTGGGTTAAATTATTCATATTATATTAATGTTTACAAAATATAAATTGAATTGAAAGTATACATATTGGTGTTGAATAAACAAAGAAAACCTTACCAAGTAAAATTTGTTGTAACGAATAGAAATAAAGATTATGATTATTTCTAGACAGAAGGAATTGATGTACAGGGTGTCCCAACTAAATGTGTCACCACCATTCATCCTCGTAATTCTCAACATATTTTGGCCCTTCAATAACTTTTCTGGAATTATTTTTTACGAATTTTTTGAATCTGTGCTCATTTTTTCTTCATACCAACAAAATACAGGGTGACTAAATAAAAAAATTGTTTTTCAAATGAAATATATCTAAATTATATTTATATAATGACCGAAATATGTTGAGAATTACAAGGATAAAGGGGGGTGACACATTAAGTGGGACACCCTGTACAGATATTTGTGTATCTCATTTTCCATTAAATCATTAAATACCGGGTGTCCACGTGGTGTGGAAAAGATCTTTTCAATAAGGTAATACGTAATACGTAAGGTCTACAAATTAAAATTATCCTGTTCTCTACAGGATGTTTTTTGAGCACGGGGCTACATGAATTATGATTTTTTTAATGGACCACCCTGTATTTTTTCACATATTTTGATTTGTCTACAAAACCATGTCAAATTATTGAAATTCTTTAGCAGTGTTGCGAAGTTATTAGAATAATTTCTAAAAATTACAATATACTAATGTTGATTTCAATATGTCTGCTGATCTTCCTTTCCAAATTATCCATGCAAAATTATGTATGAACATCGATGATACTTCAACTATGGTATCAATAAAGTCATAATTGAGAGGTATCTTACAGGGTGATTTGTAATGAGCTGCCGACGTTGACTTTTTCGAATGGTCATATCTTTCCTATTTCAAATGAAACATCCTGTATATGTCAGTAGAAATGCATTCTTATATTCATTCCCTTTCATCTGATATAATGTATTACATATCGAAAGTTTGTAGTTTTCGAGATATAGACCATTTTCTCTTTTATCCCATCTGAACTGGACATTCATTGAGCATTTCTATAATTTCTATAATCTTGTACTTAGGCATGTCGTTCTGCTAATGAGGTCTAACATTATATATTGCCCACCATATCGCGCCACTGAAACGTGGGGTCAGAGTTGGTAGAACTGATAAATATATTTGTTCTTTTCTTGTGATTTGGCCTCATCCTCCGTCAATGTACGAATTGGTCTTGAAGTTACTCATTGTGAATAAAAAAACGTGAGCCTGCGTCTTTCCATAACTTGAGGTTTTCTATTTCTTTAAATATTCTTCATAACTTTTTCCGAATATTTTTGATAAAACAGGCCACATCCTTTAGGGCTATCCGGCAAAATTTTGGGATTTTTGACTTTGACCTCACGTTTAAGTAGCGCCTACTGGTGATACTGAAAATGTCATTCAGACATGTTATGTGACATTATTAAACAATATTGTATCAAGTCTTATATTATTATTATATATAATAATATATACAGGGTGATTCACATAAGAACCGACATAGAGCAGGGGCATGTAGGGGGTCACAAAATATGGCAATTTAACGCAACTTACCTCTATACCAAGTTGCTTCCCTAAGGAGATATAGGCTTTGAAAGTGAAGTTATAAATTTTGAAAAAAATCAATATCTTCGTTATTCTTGAACTTAAAGCAACCAAATTTGTTACACTTTGTGGATGTATTTAGGGCGTTACTTGACAGTAACTAGAGTTTGATTGAAATTTGTAAAGGGGATATACCGGGTGGTGCACCATCAATATTCAACATAATTTTGTTATCCCTCGATGGATTTCAAAAATCTTTGCTTTGTTTTGTGGGCAATTCAATTCTAAAACTCTTCTTACTCTAGTAATTTTTCGAAAAACCTCATCATTTTCATCAAAAACTCGAATAACTGAAAACGCGCGATCTAGGTGTGTTATTTAAAATGATCGAAAATTCAAAACTTGGCTATGAAAATAAACGTCAAACTTGACAATGAGGCAAGTCAGTTGTTCAATTGAGTAATTATTGTTGTTTGGGTGTTTTTGAAATGAACGGGAAGTTTTCTTTAAACGAGCAAGTAGACATGATGTTAGTGCTATGCCTATAACTCCTTAGGGGAGTAACTTGGTATAGAGGTAAGTTGCGTTAAATTGCCATATTTTGGGACCCCCTACATGCCCCTGCCCTATGTCGGTTGTTATGTGAATCACCCTGTATAATATAATGGGCCTATCCCATTTAGCCCACTGTATAGTTTAGTAATATAAGACCAAGGTTAACATGTGATCTCAACCATGAATAACATTAACTTGGCGGTTATTGACTATTCACGGTTGCGTGGACATACAGGGTCTCCGGAAATTATGCGCAAAAATCAAGTGGGTGATTCTGCATGAGAAAACATGAAATTCATTTCATATACACGTGGATCCGGAAATGCATAGTTTTCAAGATACAGTGTGTTGAACTTAAAAAAAAAATAATTTTTTTGGGAATATCTCAAATATCCTTCCACTTATTCTCTTAAAATTAGGCAATGATATTCTTTGTCATGAAGGGCTGTTCACCCATAATTTAATTGGAATTTTGAAATCCAGTGGCGTCCCGGGGGCACCCTAGCGAATATAATTGTCAATCAAATGTGCGCCACTGATGTTTTCAAATTCTGTATCTTCATATCCTATTGACCAACTGAAAATTCAAGATTTTGGTCTCTAGAATTGTTTTGATATTTTGCTTCGTTTCCGTGGAAAAAGATAAATACTAATTTATTGTAAAAATTTGTGCAAAACATTCCTTCAAAAACAAGGATGAAATAAATGTGTGATCCATGTCTATAGACATAGAATCAGAATGGAGATTTATTTTCTTCCAATATTTCATAATATATATTTGACACACTTTGTATTATTGAAAACTACTCCTTCCTGGACCGAGAATACATAGTTCTCAATATACAGAGTGTAGAGTGTGTTAAACATGTATCATGAGATTGAAGAAAATGAGTTTATTCCTATTCTATGTCTAGGAATTTATTTTTGGCACAAATTTATGCAATGAATTGATATTAATTTTTTTCCATGGAACAATTCCATAAACCAAAATGTTGTATTCTCAGTTGTTCAATAGGTTCTGAACATACAGAATTCATAAAAATCAGTGGCGCACATTTTATTGACAATAATATTCGTTAGGTTGCCCCCCGGGACGCCACTGGATTTCATAATTCCAATTGAATTATTATTAGGCCCCTCATGGCAAGAAATATTATTGCCAAATTTGAAGAAAATCGGTGGAAGGACATTTGAGATATTCATAAAAAACGATTTTTTTAGTTTAACACACTGTATGTTGAAAAATATGCATTTCTAGACGCACGAACATATAAAATGAATTTCTTAGTTTATCATGTAGAATCACCCCCTTGATTTTTTGCGCATAATTTTCGGACACCCTGTATACCTAGTATATAAGTAGCCCCTAGCCCACTAGGATAGAGCATTTAGTATTAATCGTCTCCTGAAGATCCTAACATAGTTAGCGAATCACGTTTCGAGGTATGAAAAATCGATTTGGTTAGTGGTAAAACAGTGTGTAGTGTATAATTCTTTCGTCAAAATTTTTTAATTCAAGATGGCGGATCCAATATAGCGAACGACTTTTGTAATTATGGTCAGATTCTATCAAAATTAGTAACTGGGGGTTTTCGAGATCGAAGATTACGATAACTTTGTTCAAATTCAAAATAACAGACGAGTTTTTAAATTATGATCAGATTCTATCCAAAATTGGTATCTGGGGATTTTCGGAGTCGGAGATGATGATTCTTTCGTCACAATGTGGAAATCCAAGATGGCAGATCCAATATGGCAGACGAGTTTTGTAACCATGATCCGATTCCATTCAAAATTTGTATCTGGGGGATTTTGGGGTCGGAGAATATGATTCTTCCATCAGAATTAGGAAATTAGTTGAAGTAGAAAATGAAAATAGTAGTTTGAAATACAAATGAAACGATTTTATGGATAGCCAAACTAAAAAGAAGTAGAAAACAAAATAATAAAAGTATCTTGATAAATATTCAACTAAAAAGGATATTTTCTAGAAATACATGTAATTATGAGGCGCAGATTCACAATGCGAAGGTACTGTCGGTTCGAATCCGGCTATCGGCTGAGCATTCTTCTTTAAAATGTGGGATTTATGGTTGTAATCCTGGCAGCACCTCGATGCTCTATAAGTGGTTTGGATTCCACTATAAGCTGTAGGTCTCGCTCTTCCTAACCCCGCACAAGTTTCGACTTCTGGGGAGTTGGTTTGAAGTAGCAATATACAAATTTTACAAAAAAAAAATTATAGCACAACAACGTTTGCCGGGTATCAGCTATTTTAATAATTAGCTACATAGCTGGAAGGTGGAATATATTTTATTTGAAAACCAAATGAATGAAATTTTCTGCAGAAAATCGATTTTAATTATTTTAATTGAAAGTACTACTACCAAAGTACTACCAAAAAGATTTCGTCTATCTCTTATTGCAATGAAGATATAGAGATTTACCACATACACCTGGTACAAGTACAATTCCGGATTAGAAAATGCGAGAATCACTTTTTGAGAAATATACCAAAATAATATCAACATTTTCGTAGCATTTATTCCTTCAGATCAGATCAGATTTTGTATCCGAAGTTTCGTGTTCTTGTAACCACCGTCAAATAACACTGATGATGATTTTTAGGTTTGAAATGATGAATAATTGTTAAGTGCAATATGCAGTTGGATTTAAGGTCAAAAAAAAATTGTTTGACCATTTATAAAAACGAAGTTAATAGTTAATGATGGCTCCTGGAAGACGAAACGTTGGATCACAAATCTATTAATACAATTGGATAGAGCGAAAAAAGTGGCAATAATAATATGAAACTTATTTCCTGATATCACTTCAAATACAGCCAGGAAAAATAAAAACGAAATCGAGGATATTCGGTTTCTTTGGAATACCTTCAGAAGTATTTGGAATTTACAAACTTTGATTCCCTTGAATGTATGCTAAAAAATCGGCAATAGGCTAGGATTAGCGCCCTAAATCAGGAATTAAATTATGGTACAATCAGTTTTGTGATTTTACTATCATTATGAAGTGGTTCTGATGCAATGTTTTGATATCAGAACCCACGTTTTTTTTTGCAAAAATTGATGAGTAATAAATTAGCCTTGAATTAGCCTTGAATTGTGGCCAAAGAGAATAATTAAAAATCTAAAAAGGTTCTGCTAGTGTAATGAAAGTTTTTATTTTCCAATTTTGAAAAATTCTTTGATGTTTATTGATGGTGAATTGGTAAATTGGCTACAGATGGGGATACTTTTTTGGAAGACAAAAATTATATTTTTTTATTAATCACAGAACTTTATAATTTCTCCTGGAGCCATTGGAAACAAAGTGAGCTCAGGGGCATACATTTTTTTTCTGAGCAGTGTGTCTCATTACTTACCCTGGAATGTGGTATTCCTGTGGTAGTATTGAAAGCTGGTAACAATCTGTATCCAACATCTTTGCTCATGCTCAATAACTCTCCCTTGTACCATGGCATGATACCATCTCTCTGTTGCAAATAGTCTGCTAGGATATGTGCTGATAGTAAACCCCTAAAGATGATGGCTTTATTGACTGGACTAACATATTCCAGATGTATACTTACCCCAGTACTCTGATGTTTGTTTCAAACACAGAAACAATGATATCATTATCAAAGGAAACATCTTTTATTATCAATTTCACAGCATGCTCAAATTCTTCAAGATCACCCAGTATAACAAGGGTATCTAGAGTATCTATCAATGTCAATGAGAAACTGAAATAAATAATCATACTGACTCCAAAATTTATTTGAATTCAGAATTTTTAATTTATGATAAGTAGGTACCTAGTTTGTAATGATATTTTGGAAATTCCAAATAGTCAGGACATGCTATGTAGAACGTTTATCTAGTTGAATAACAGGATAATACCTTGTTTAACCTTGACAAAAACCATTAATAACACAGACAGATAAGAATAGATTTCAATAAAATGATTCATTACAAAATTAAAGACTCTGCATTCCAAGGAAACCCATTTCTTTGGATATATGTTAATAAAATGTGTATATTTTTTTTTAATAACCTGAATACACACTTTGATCTTGATATTAATTATAATTAAAATCTAGATAAATTTGTTGTAAAAGGAGCAACCTACATATTGAAAATTACAAGGAATGAAAAATAATGAGACATGGAAATGTAATTGTATTGTTTCTACTTGAAAATAATTATATCTGATATGAAAGGACAAAAAATATCTCTAGATCTACATTTCTGAATTAACATAAACAATAGTAATCTGTTATCTTATAGGTACCTACTTAATAAGAATGAAAAGAAATGGAACTGTTCTAATTTTGAATATCATCATAACATTAATGTTTGTAGATGTGTGGACTGCATGTCTATAATCATCCTATACAAGTACTCACTTTCCTAAGGAATCATCTATGTCTCCCCTGTTTGGTGTAACACCTCTATAACGTCCCATACAACTCAATGGCATAAGTTCATCTGCAGGGTAAGCATTGTCCATATAGGCATTGTAAGCATGATAGAACATATCCCTTGCCTCTTCCCTTTAATAAAAACAAGTATGAGCAAAATTTCCCTAGAACTATGCACTCTGTAAAAGATAAGAATGTCTATCATTGGTATAATTCATATTTTTTTCTGATGTTATTTAAAGCGATATAGGAAAACAAAAGATACCAACTCATTGTCACTTTTTGAGCTCTACAAAAACAGTGTTGAGATTTTCCCTACATCATTTTGTTTCAAAGAAACCATCATCAATTTTACTTCATGATAGACATACTTATCACAGTGTAGTGTATACATATATTCAATTCCTTACCTGAGTTGTATTCTTTGCTTATCAGACATGGGCTTATTCTGATCTTCCCCATAACATGTATGGTAAGTTGAAATTAGAATAACAGTTATGCACTTAGCCAGTAAACTCCCAGTGACATACATTTTTATAATGGATGGAGAAATTGTCAGGAAAATTGTCTTTCACTTATAAACATATTGTTGCTTATGCTGTCAAATTACAGGTGATAAGACGCCTTATCAGTAAGCTGGTTATTGAAAGTAGGACTCATCAATATTAATGAACACATTTTAGGGAAATGCAATATCATTAACAACAATATCTTCTTGAATTATAACAGGTCTCAACATAATTTGGAAGAGCAACGAATCTTTAAAATTCGTCCTCAAAACTTGACAAATATAATCTATGTCTTCATTTTCAGGAATGACCTTTCTTTTCTTCACTTTTTTACACCATACATATCATGTTCATGACATCATTAAATTACTATCACATATCACATATTTTGTGTGATAGGGTGATATGGTGGTGATCACAGACCACAGTTTTCTCACTTCTTAGATATAATATATAATGAACAGGAAGGAGTCAATCAATTCAATGTTTTAATTGATAGCAAATTTTAATTTTTAAATCAATATTTTCCACTGAACTCTGTAAAAGAAAAACACAACTTGACAATCTTGACTATCTTGAGATAACTTATCTCTGTCTTGACATTGGCAATTGGCATCTCTGTTGGCATGATTGATGACTGACGTGTCTCACTGACGTGTTCATTCATATATCTACTACACATATATGAATCATAGCTATCCTCAAAGCGGGATCAACAAACTTCTGTCTCTATAGAATTATTCATTCCAGAATTACGTCATTTGACAGGCTGCTGAGGGGCAAACATTGTATTTTGTCAAGATTTGTCATATAAAACCAGAATTAGTGGGATCATTTCCCTTGGAATCCGAGTTGGAACCAGAAAGAATTTTATAATTTCGTTTGGTGAAACTGTTATTATATTGTGGATGTGGCACAGGGACGGCCAGAGCAATGCTCATCAAAGGTAACCTAATAGATAGTTTGTGTGCCCCTCAAGAAACCATGTCAAAATCACGTGTTCTAGAATGATCAATGATGAAAGAAAGGTGGATATAGGTATGGTGAAATAGCTCCCTCTTACAAAACCCTAGAAATTTTTGTAGACCTTTGGCCTACTTGATTATGTCGAATTCTATCACCGTAGTAAGGCCGCGCAAAACTAAAGCTAGATGGCGCTGTTCCCGAAGTGATCTTGCTACACAATGGTTGTTTTGTTTTGTTGTTTACATTTACGTATATTAATTCGTAATTCAGAAACATTGAGAAAAAGTGATTGATTTAATGAAAAAGACGTGAAATTTTCATTATATCTGTGAAGTTTATGTGGCACGATGTTCCCTACGCCATCTACAATCAATCCGGTGCGGCCTTGCTACGGTGTTTCGCGGTCTACACGTTTTGGAAAAAAACAATTGACAAGTGGTTACACCAGTCTATTTTCATCATGGATGAAAGTAAGATATATGGTGTGATTACTGATGCGCTTTTGTTTCAGAAAGTTTACTCGACCTCTCGAGAACAGCGAGAGCAATGGTTCCGTCGATCTTCTAATAGATGGCAACATTGCAGAATCATAACATCTATCTTTTTTGAAATTGTCGCAGATATTTCGAATTGAGAGTTGAATAATCCCACTGTTACATATGCTCCGCGTACCTGAAATGCCATTTGCGATTTTATTTCCACTCATCACAGCAGCAAAAGCAGCATCACCGTCTAGCGGGAAAATGTAGAGTCAACGTCTCGCTCGTTGTGACGTAGGGAAATCATAGTAGGCGGTCGAGTGATTTTTCTGAAATTTTCAATACGTAATGATGGCCGAATGCGCGCACCATATCTTACTTCCATCATTCTCTATAGGTAACGAAATCGACCAATAGGCGTTGATGCCGACGTAGGGAAAAAATTATACGATAATATGGCTACTTATTTCAAATTTCGGTAAAACTGTATTTAGCATGCGATGGTTTTTTTTTTCGAAAATTTTTTTTGGTACCTACGTATTTTTGTCTGAAAAACACGAATTTGACAATGATAATGTGAACAAACTACTATTTATCGAGATAGTCGAGTTCAATACTTATGAACATCTCATTTCAAAAATCTAGCTCAGTTGTGGGCAAAGTATGGCCCGCGGGCCATCTCCGGCCCGCGACGGGTTTACTCCGGCTCGCCAACAATGCCTACTTCAAAGTAGTGTCACAGATCAGGCAAACATCTACTCTGTGGTAGAGTATTACGAATATGGCGTTCGGAATTGAATTGGAACAGTAGTACTCCATTTCAAATTCATTTTCATGAAGCAATGCCCAAGGCATAATTTCAGAAGCATATTATGAATGCCCAGAAAATCATGGCACTGTCTGCGTCGTTGTAAGTTTGCGAACAAAATAATGTTTTCAACCACAGATATGCGGAGAACGTCTTCGGATTAGGCTAACTGACGAACACCTATTCACTGTTGAAAGTATTCCCGTCTCAGCTCGAACTCGCTCACGATTCCTAAGAGGATATCAATTAAGTAGATAGCTGTTTATATCTCACCTATCTTCAACTTTCGTGATATGTATTTTTTGTAAAATTTGTAAGTATCGCTACTTCAAACTTGGGAACCAACTCCCCAGAAGTTGAAACTTGTGCTTGGTTAGGAAGTTCGAGACCTACAGTTTATAGTGGTTTCCGAACCACTTCCAGGACACTGCCAGGATTACAACCAAGAATCACACTTTAAAAAAAAAATGCTGAGCCAAGTCGAATTTGAACCGACAGGACCTTGGCATCGTAAACGTCTGTCTAAATGGAATTGAGCGCCGAGATGAGCGCCTTCTCATTCGTTATTATTTTCAGCCCCCCCCCCCGCAGAATCTATTCTACTTTTCTGGCCCCTAGTGAAATAAAGTTTGCCCACCACTGGTCTAGTCTAGCTAGACCAATGACGGCTAAATATTCAGACTGTCTGACGGTATAACCCATATATCTACTACTCATATATGAAGCATAGCTCTCTTCAAAGCGGGACCAACTTCTCTATACTTAACAAAACCGATCAATAGGCGTTGATGCCGACCTAGGGAAAAATAATACGAAACTTGTCAAACCAATATGGCTGTTTCCATCCTACACTTTCCGTCCTCATAGATCCAAAAAGTACCTCTATTTGGTCCCATTTTTGTTGAGATATCATATGGGCGGTGCGCCATATATAGAAATATTAGATATCTGGTATAACCCGTCAGACAGTCTAGATATTTAGCCGTCATTGATTGGGCGCGGCAACACTGGTTGTCAGTGGTCAGTCACTTGTCGAGTTTTGTGGAGTTTCACGTTTCACCTACAGAGTACAGAGGCAAAGGAAGGAAAACACTAATCTCCTCTTTGATTTTAATTTATAGTGGCTAGATTATTTTTCAGATGGACGTGGGTTGAATGTGCATAATAATATGGACAATATATCCCAACAGTCAGATGAAATGGAAGCCTTGACATCAATTTTTGGGGATGAATGGCAAATGGATCCTGGTACAAAAATGTGCAGTATTGATATTACTAAAGAAGTCAAACTGTTTATAACCTTGATACCAGAATATCCATCTAGTTCTCTACCACAATATGAACTACTAGCTCCAAATTTGAGTCTTCAGCAGAAAAAACATATTGATGAAGAATTTGAAAACCTGTATAAGTGAGCATTTTTCAAAGGAAGAGTCTCAGGGTGCACAAATTGCAGAACTCTATTACAATAATGCAGGTCACTGAGTACAAGTTACTTTCATATGGAAAATGTTGAATGCTTGTGGAATGAATGAATATTTGAATGCATAGGTAAGAGAAGCATGCCCCACATTCTTTCAACATTGTTCCACCACAGATACTTTCTACTTTCAACATTGTTCAACTACAGATCACCAGCCAACCTCAGGGGATCCTGATTGTTGAGAAAAAGGGGGCAGCAAATTGTATTTGTGAACATGCATTAATTAGTGATAGAATTCTGCCATTTGCAGACCCCCAGACTCTTACCTTTTCTAATTATCCAGAAAGTCTGAATTGCAGTGAAACAAATTCAAATGATTTGAGAATTAGGAATACCAGTAGGGATTTCATGGGTTTGTTGTTTTTAGGGATTGTTTATAGGTAGTATACATTCCATGTCTCAAGAGTCTGATGGATATGTATATTTTTCAGGAATGAAGGTGGGGGTCCCATCATTTATCAAATGATAATGATAGTGGAGGAAATTGCTAAAACTAAAAATGTTACTGAAACCAGTTCTCCAGAAGAATTACTACAATGTGACAAGGAATGCCAAAGATTGGTAACCCCCATTGAAAAATCCCATCTAAATATAATTCATGGTGCTATTATTGTAGATAGAAAAAGTGTATTTCAGGGCCATGTATGTACTGTAAATAGCAAGGATGATGTAAGGTATTTTGTAGGGATGTTACAAAAAAAAGTGATAATTGATAAAATTGTTTCAGTTCCTTCAAGGAATTACTTCTTGAAAACAGGAAAGTTGCTCATGCAACCCACAATATTTCAGCTTATAGGATAAATTTGCCAAACAACATTGTCCTACAGGTAAAATTGAACATACAATTTTTTTTGGTAAAAAAATTGAAATACTTTTAGGATTGTGATGATGATGGGGAAGCTAAGGCCTCTGCAAGACTCCTAGAATTGCTGCAGACTTTGAAACTTAACAATATAATAGTTGTTGTTTCTAGATGGTAAAATTATAATTGTTGTCTAAGCAAATATGTAAATGTTAATCAAATTATGATCTTTTGCAGGTATGGTGGTGTTCAGCTTGGTCCAGACAGATTCAGGCATATAAATAATGCAGCTCGCCAGGCTCTAGTAGATGGTGGTTACATACCAAGGTGAACATTGTTCATACTTGAAAAAATATTCTCAAGTTTATCTAATCCACCACTTCATATTAAATTATAAAAATTGTACATATATTTGTCTTATGCATTTTATTCACTGAATTTATTTCATTTCATTTCTACAGTGGGTCCATAAAGTAATGCATGAATTCATTATTGGCTAAATGAACAATAAGATTAGAAATTCCCGAAACAGGTCGATTTTTGATTTCAATTTACTATTGTTTCAAATCATAATCTAATATACAGGGTGAACCACTTTCGTGTAATGACGTCATCACCATTTTTTTCAAATGGAACCCCCCTTTTTTTTTCAATTTCCAAATTGCCTTTGCTGAGCTGATTCCAAAAATGTATAATATGTTGCTTCAAATTGGTACAGGGTGGGCAAAAATGCAAAAATTTACTTACAAAGTAATAAAAATAATGAATAAACATAATAAACACATTAAATGAAATTATGTATTGTTATACAACTACTTGGATAAACTATCAAGAACATCCAGCATTATTCTTAATAATTGTATCTTACAGCTTTTATTACTGATCTAAGCCCGTGGACTATAAAAATCTTTTTGTTTGGCATTATCTTTTACCATTTTTTTAATTTGACAAAACTGTCAAAAACATTGAAGCACAGTTTCGTATTGTTAACGCTTTAGAGAAGGTACGTTCGTGATTTTTTTTTACAAAATGCCTTTAACCGGAAGTGACAGGATTGAAATATTAATGATGATTGGTATTGGCGATAAGATACGGACTCAACAAGAGGTATGCCGATTATTCCATGAAATGCACCCAGATCGTGAACCTATTTCACAATCTACGGTAAGTAGAATAGAGCGAAAATACAGAGAATTAGGACATGTGAGGGATGCAGCAAAGCAAGGTAGACCGCAGAATCTGGTTTCAACAGGATGGCGCACCACCACATTTTGTAGTAACTGTGCGCGATTTTTTAAACACAACTTTTCCACAAAGGTGGATAGGAAGAAGGGGACCAGTGGAATGGCCTGCTAGATCACCTGATCTGAGCCCATTAGACTTCTTTTTATGGGGTTATTCAAAATCTAAAGTCTAATTAAACAGACCTGGAAATATCCCTCAACTACAAGACCGAATCAGACAAGAAATACAGAGCATAACACCCGCTATGCTGCAGAATGTTAGAGACGAAAGTAATGCCCGGTTCAGTCATTGTCTAACGGTCAATGGAGAACAATTTGAACATTTATTGTGAATTTTCGTTTGTTTGTTTGTTTTTGGAAGTGTATCACATTAATTGCATAACTACATAATTCCATTTAATTTGTTTATTACATTCAGTAACGTATTACTTTCCATAAACAATTTTCATATTTTTTTTTGCATTTTTGCCCACCCTGTACCAATTTGAAGCAACATATTATACATTTTTGGAATCAGCTCAGCAAGGGCAATTCTGAAATTGAAAAAAATGGTGATGACGTCATTACACGAAAGTGGTTCACCCTGTATATCAGATTATGATTTGAAACAATAGTAAATTGAAATCAAAAATCGACCTGTTTCGGGAATTTCTAATTTTATTGTTCATTTAGCCAACAATGAATTTATGCGTTACTTTATGGACACACTGTATAGTAAACATAATTTCATTTTTTTATAGTAGAACTTGTATTTGACTGGAAGTTTTAAACTCAATTAATAAATGAACAAATTTCTAATAAAACTCAAATCATTCATCTTGTTCTAATGTTAAAGATAAAGAATAAACCATAATCAAGTTTCTAACATTTCAAATCTTAGACAAATATGTTGACTGTGAAGAACATATGACACTAATTCACACAGTTTATGTAGGCAAACTATATCTAACTGACTCATTATGAATGGCCCTGATCAAGTCATGATTCACAGAGAAAATAAACCTCAAACATGCTATTTCCACCACTGCATTGTCATATAAACGCACTTTATTACCAGCTGTGATTGGTCGACCATCCACAAAAATGGGACGTTTTCCTTCAGAGGACAAGTAGAACTCCCCTGTGTTTCTCAACCTGCAAATTAACTTTTGTTAATCAATCCAAAATTTTTCAATGATCATTTTGATTTTGACCATAATTTAATTTTCTTGACAATTTAATTCATGTATGAAATATCCCACAAGTCCTGTGATTATTTTTTTTTCTACAAACGTCAAAAAATGACAAGGTTCGCGCATTGATAACAAATTGCAAAGTGACACTTTTTTTCAGTTTCCTACGTTACCATTATTCCTTGCACAAAACAATGCACGAAGTAAAACAGTGCGCGAAGTACCTACTTTGCGCATTGTAAGGTAAAATAAATGAGATATTTATATTTCAACTTTATGGTCCTCAATCGAGCAGACATCCACAAAATCATTTATTTCTGAATGTTCAACAATAACTTTGTTTTTTCTCTTGGAGTGCATGAAAGGAAATTCCTATTATGTTCGTGGAACATCGTGCGTACCTAGGGAGGATAGGGGGAGACCTTTCAAGCCAGTTCAACACTATATTTTATATCAAGTTGAGCATATTTTTCCTTCAGAACTATATTTTTTGAAGTTTGTAGAAAAAATTTTGTTTGCAACTCGAGCGCGAAATACTTTCGTCATCTCGACTATTTTTTCAACTCGGCTACGCCTCGTTAAAAAAATCAGATCTCGATCGCCAAAGTAGCATTTCGCGCTTTAGATACAAAAATAACTATTTTATCGCTTGGAGCGCACGAAAGGGAATCCCTATAATGTTCAAAGAACATCGTGCGTTCCTGGGGAGGATTGGGACAGGAGGTAGGTATTGGAATTTTTTTTGTGACAGCGAAAAAAGTTTGCCCTAACTTTTCCAGCTACAATAACAGAACCTAACTTTTGAAAGCTTGACAACCAGCCATAATCAAAATGTTTCATGAATTAAATTGTCTTACCGAATTTCACTCTAGCCTTTTTTTAGTGGAAGTAAACTTGGCATTTATAATTCGAATTTTGTTGCCATTAGGTTATTCAACTCGAAAAATTGCCAGAGAAAATTACTCCTCCTATGGACTCATAAGGCAGTTTTTTTAGTCAAATTGCCAGGCAACAAAATTCTAATGATTGCAGAGATGCTTTCATTGATAATAAAATATTAACATTTCCAAATATGTACATATTTGAAAACCTTTTATACGTCAAATGCAACGGTACTCGGAGGCTGGCGAAATGCATCAGCACGGCACTCGAGGCAGGGAGCAGCTCACGGTACCTTTGTGGAGGCTGGAAAGGTGTCGGAGTGGAACAAATTATTGGGCTGTGAAATTTTTCAATAAATTACCAGAAAGTGTGAGAGCACTTTCTGATAAAATGTTTAGGGGAACGGTACACGAAGTATTGCTTAGGAATCCCTTCTAGGTCTAGGACAAAGAAGAATTTCTCAATTTTACTTGGAACTAATTGTTTTTATGTTGCTAAATCCTCAAAACTAATTTTTAACTTAATATTTTAACTTGTATTGTATTGTCACTTGATGTACCAGGTTTTAATTTGTATTTTATATTCAACTGTTGTTTCTGAATATCTATAAGTATTTTCTTATATGAAATTTTTAATTTGTAATCTTGACTTTTTTTGTGTATTAGCACCAATAAATTATGAGTATGAGTATGAGTAATTGATACATGTCACGTTTACTTCCACAAAAAAAAGCTCTCCTGTATTTATAAGTCAAAATAAATGTTGAATCATTGCAATTATCAATCACTATGACAACAAGATCAACTTTGACAACTTCAAATCATTTTCCGCCGAATAACCCTCCAACATGCCTAAGCAAATTGAATGAGCTAGGCAGCAACAATAAAGTGATCCTCCTCTCAGTGCCAGGGCATATTGGAGTGGAGGCGAATGAACAAGCAGACACTCTGGCACGACAAGGGGCTTCAACGCCACTGATCGGACCAGAGCCATTCTGCGGTCTTGGAAATTCCTATTTCCAAGGAGAACTTGAGAAAGCGGAAGGAGCCTGGAGAGCCAGACAATGGAGAAGACTTCCAGGCAGGGGCGGACTGGGTTGAAAAAAGCTAGAGGGCTTTGTGGATCAAAGGGCGCAACATGAAATGATTGTCTGAGTGTTTATACAGAAGCGTAGAAGTGCACCATTTTTTTTATTCCGAATCTCAACTCGGATTTGGCCCAATTAATATTGGAATATTGCATGAAAAATTGAAGACAACCCCGATCATTGATATATATGATATTATTTCCTTCTCGAATAAACAGATACATTCTCACTATCTGAAAAATCATCATCTTCTGCATGTATTCATTCTACATGTATTCCTTTGAATATAGGCTTTTGAAACGATTCGAAACAAACAGTTTCATCGATTATGAATGGTTTTTGAGAGTATAGGCCATGACAATGATAACATTTAAATTTTATACTGATCAGATTTGCAATTATTCTCATTATTTTCTTTCCAGAAATCGATCAAACTCATGAATTGAAAAATATGGAAGATGATTATATTGAATGATGTGGTTTTGGAAAGCTCTTTGAGAGGTCTTTCCGATGGTAAAGAAATATACAGTGTCTCATCAACGATTCAATAGAGACAGTATTGCTATTTCCGAAACAGTAAGAAATAGAAAGTTTATGCACGAAAAATGTCAGCCATTCCTGAAATATTTTGAAAGGACTAAAAATCACTGATTTCACTAATTATTCTCTTGGTTAATATTAGAGAGAAAATATTGAAATTTTGTGTGTACAAGTAATTAATCATGGATGAAAAAGAAGTTGGGATTCTCAGAAATATTCTATCGTATTATTTTCAGCGATTTACCAATTTAAATTCATAGAAATATAACTGGAATAAAACTTATGTCAAGACCAAGTCTTACACTAAATGAAAACCTTCAATAATAGTTAGAGGAAATAGTATCTCGATTATTCAACGAAAAATTTATATTTTGAGTTTTTCTGTGCCTTTGGTAATAATGTAGCGTGTTATTCACATATACGTATTAATAATCAATACGGATAATCTCTATCTGTTTCCATAGCAAAACATGAAGCCGATTTTTGAAGACAAATGACTATCCATAAGGAAAAGTGAGATACGATCAGACACTGATATTGAAAGGCTAGTAAACGTCATTGTCCACCGAAACGCATGTCTTTGATGACTACGTATCATGCCACCAAATCCTTATGGATATTCATTTGTTTCATATTTTTGGCTTCATCCTGGCACCCGTTATGATCGGTATTGTTTATTAATACGTATATGGTTATTCATGGTTGAAGAAGTATTGATATTGTAGTCATGACGACAGAGTCATTTTCATGGCCTACCACAGTTGAAAATGTTTCTACTGTTCTTTAGCGCTATTTTCATTCAATGGTATATAAAGAACAGATATAGCGCCCATAAGAAAAACGTAAGTTGCATGTTGAGTATCTGAAAATATTGAAAAATATTTCTGACAATCCCAACTTCTTCATCATGATAAATCATCTGCTTGTACAAAATTTCAATAGTTTTTCCCAAATATCAACTAAGCAAATGAATAAAAGCGAAATCAGTGATTTTCAGTTTTTTCAAAATATTTCAGAAACGGCTCACATTTTTTGAAGTTGAAAAACGTCATATTGAAGAGGTTGACGCAACTTTTGTTCAATCTGATCAAATTTCCATCTCTAACCGTTTAGGAAATAGCAATATACGTCCCTATTGAATCGTTGGACCCTGAATATAAGATGTTCTACTCATAGCTCTCACATTTTTTTAAATTCAGATTCTAGAATTGATTAAAATTCCCTGTGAGGCAAGTTTTTATTCATTTTTGAAATATAAAAAATAAAATAGCTACAGGAAGTGGTACAGTAACGTATCACTCAGTACATTTCCAAATTGATTGGATAATTACCAATTCATCACACAAAATTGGTTCTTGTTGGGTGAAACAAGTTGTGATGAAAGAGGAGATGTCAAAGCTCACATAATTTTTATACCAGGTGGTCCAGAATTCCAAGTAACAAGTCGTCATTCCGAGTAAGAAGTCTGCATTTGAAAGTAAAAAAAAAACGTTGCTTTCTGGCCTTCGTACAGCGCGATTCTTAGGGCAGGGGCGCCACTGAGCAAAGGCGCAGAGGGCTTCGCCCTCCGGTCCAGTCCGCCCCTGCTTCCAGGACTACGGCAGGCTAAAGATCTCCTTGGAAATTTCAACCGAAAGATCTAAGACACTGACAAACCTCAGCAAAGGAAGTCTCAAAGCAATAACGGGATTTCTAACGGGGCATTGCAGACTCAAAAAACACCTAAGGAAGCTAGGCTTACAGGAGGACGGCACCTGCAGATTCTGTGAAGAAGAACCAGAAACACCCCATCACATACTGATGGAGTGTGATGCTGTGGGAGCATCCCACGATGCCCAATTCCCACGATGGCCAATTCCCACGATGCCCAATTCCTACGATGCCCACCTTCATGTCGACGATTACGAAAATTGCCGAAGAGCGCAATGTTGCCAGGTCAAGAGAAAAATTCAGAAAACACAAGATTCCCACCATGCCCACTTCTCATATAATCCCACGATGCCCAATTCCCACCATGCCCACTTTTCATACAATCCTCAAATTCCTGAAGGAATTGAATCTCGAGGGGCTGCTATGAACAAGAAATTCTTGATATAGCAGAAGCAGATGGGGCACAATAGATCTAATTAGGTCACAGCGCATCTGTCACCATCTAACCTACCAATACCAATAACCCTCCAACATTGACAAATGCCTCATAATTTCATGAAAAATTTCTCAAGCTCCTTGCTTAACAGCTCGAAGCCGAATTATCTCCTCTATTATCAATGTCCTAGGGATATTTATACTAATAATTGCAAAGTACAAAGAATAATCACAACTGTATGATACAGTTCAAGTAATGTCACATCAATAACCTAGATTTTTCATCAGATTCAGTACAGGCACACTCATGGATCATCAAAGAGATCAGAAGTTTCACTTTTTTGTCAAAAATTCACTAGTGATTCCAATTCTCACACCTGAAAATCAACACAGTTGGCCCTGGGTTTTGTTAACAACAAAAACAATTTCTTGGACCCAGTTGTTGAAACTAATTAAATTCCACATTAAAAAATGACAAATGATATCCAATTTGACAGTAACTGCTGCCAACAAGTTGCAAGGAATATCTAACCCTTCTGAAATGAAAATACAGCATGTTTGAAAAAGACGCGGCAATATTCAAGGGGGTGATTCCTCATATCATTTTATGAAAAACAGTTCACATAAATATAGGTCCCGAAATGCATTGTTTCCAAGATACAGGACGTTGAAGTTTTTTAAATAATGTTTTTTGAATTAATTCAAATATCTTCTCATGAATTTGTTTGAACTATGGCAGCATTGTGTATAGTGATAAGGGGCTGTTTTGGCCCTGACTAGATGAACATTAATATAAACAGTGACATTATGGGGGAGACAATGTTATGAAATTTATTGAAAAAAATGTATGACTCTTACTTAAATGAAATTTCAATAATTCCCTGGGATATAGCAACTTTGGAAATGAAGTGTTTTATTTGTTCTGATTAGAAAAAACATACATACAACTAAAACTACAACTGTTTCGTCTCCTGGATTTTTCTCATATCATACTTCTTTTACTAGATAAAAACTGTTGAAAGTGACCACTTGCAACAATGGCTTTAGGTGTTATTCAAATGTCAATCATTTTGTATTTATCTGTCTATATATACAGTGTGAACCACTTCTAATGGGAACACCCCTTTATCATATGTAACCGTTGGGTAAGGATCCTGAAATTTGCTGGAGCGAGAGAAATACAAAAACTGTACTCTATGACCAAGTGGGGTCGTCTTCAGTGATATACACTGCTCGATAACAGCCATGGAACTACCCCAATTTCCGGAAAATTATATTAGGAGTCAAAATAGGTCAAAAATCACTTCAGATTCGGAATCAGGACACCAAATTCACTAATTATTTATATTTTTCCTGGAGAATGTTCATTTCTGAAAAAATTAATTTTGTCGCACTTTTTACAGAAGCATCCCCGTATCTTACGTAATTGACTTCATCTTTGGACTTTCCCTTCCTCCTGCAAATTTCAGAACCCTACTTTAATAATTACGTTATTCCTTGCTCACACAAGACTCTCGAAGACTTCTGAGGGTTGCTCGTAAGGGGGCAATCGAATGATGGATAGATTTTTTTAGATACGGGGGTGCTTCCATGAGAAGTGAGACAAAATTTGATTTTTCTGAACTAAAAATTTTCTAGGAAAACTATGGATAGGTAGTGAATTGGGCCTCCTGATTCTGAATCTGAAGTGATTGTCAACCTATTTTGACTCCTGATATCATTTTCCGGAAATATCACTGAAGATGACCCCACTTGGTCATAGAGTGAATTTTTGGTATACCACTAACTCCAGCAAATTTCAGCATACTTGCCCATCAATGTAAAATACTGGGGTGTTTCCATTAGAAATGGATCACACTGTATATCAAATTTATTGAAGTTCCATAACATGAATTATTTAAAAATTTAAACTTTAACATTCTGTATCTTGGAAACAATGCATTTCCCGACCTACATTTACGGAAACTTGTTTTCATGAAATGATCTTAGGAACCACCCCCAAATATATTGCAGCATCTTTTCAAACACCCTGGAAATATTTTTAACCAGTTTGTTTTTATGGAAGAGCAAGTTCTGATTACGTCACTCTCACTGGTGAAATGATCTGAACTTGAATTCTGCCGTTTGATAGGTATACAGTTCTCAGCTCTCTATCATTTTTCATTTATTTTGTATTTACCTATACCTGTCAATAAAATCCATTATTATTATTATTATTATTATTATAAGAATGTGTTGTTACTTACTGTATTGTTTCAGTTATTTGAAAAAAGTCTTACCTCAAAGTGGCTTGCCTTCTTGAAATTTTATGTGCAGGCCCCTCAAGAGACAGATCAATATCTACCATATGCCCCTTGCCTGACCTGCCAATGCTGATCTCCCTGCTCCTCATCAGGTACCTCACCATCCTGCCTCGCAAAACGGCCAAAGTTTGACTGTCCAACTCTCCTGGACATATACCGGTCACACTATCCACCAGAACATTCCAACGTCCTAATGACAATTAATATTCATCACATCACAACACTAACAGGAAGGTCAATTTTATACCTATCTCATTCTCCAGCTGTCTGATCTCTCTCACATTTCGTCTCTGCTGCAGTTTGATTTCTCTATCAACAGCCTCATCTTCAGGTTCCCCCAGTTCTGCATCTTGGATCAGATCCTCTGCATCATTAAAGGTCATTATTGGCCTACCAGATGCAGGTATGGGGCCCACTGTTTGGTCTGGCAGGAGATTGTACATCTTCAGACTTTGCCAGTGGCGAAAAAGGGAGATTGGGGTTCTACCAGTATAGAAAATGTCAGGGTGCTGCGAAAGCATCTCTGCAAATGTTTCAACTGTTGGTGGTGGGTTTGTACTCTGCAAAAATTCATGGGGTAAGATCTAGCATGGGGTAGAGTTCCTAAATGTACTTGACACTGCTGTTTTGACCTTTTTTGTATATTAGAATAGGGTCACTAGACAAGCAGTGACAATCAAACATAACCACAAATGATTTTGAAGCAAATCATATGTTTTGCCAGACAAGGACAAGAATATGTTTTTAGCTTAGATAAAGGATCCTCGCATCTTCCTGCCTCCACAAGTCCTAGGAAGAGTACATCCATATATCTTTCTCTGTCTTTGATTTTTGTGTGAGTGCATAGCGTCTCCTCGAGTGGGTAAAAGGGTAGGATAAATTGATTAGGAAATTATTTCTCCTCCAAATATTGAATAAGGCTGAAGGACCTCAATGGAGGTCGATATCAAGTTGGTATGAATGCAGCTATGGTAATTTGTATTGAAATTTCAATAAATTATTGTAACCAGATGAAACACAGGTAAATTTGATCACCAATGCTTTTTCCTAACTTATTGCATCCCATCTGTTACCATTAAATTTTGAATTTTGAGATGAATCATGCTCATATAAAGCAACATTTTTACTAGTATTATTCAATTTGCTATTTAAAATCTTCCATTCCGTTCTTCAAATGCAAAAGTTTTTTATAGTATTGTTCATCGAAACTATGAATTTTGCTCAAAATTGCCTGGATATTTGCTTGGTGAAATTTTTTGTATATCTCTGAAGATATGAATGTACAATTCAATAAACATCGATCGGATAACTTTATTGCATTATCAGGAGTATCCCAGGGATCTATTTTGGGTCCATTACTTTTCATCCTTTTTGTGAATGACGTTGGAGATTTTATAAAAACAGTTTTCAAAAAAAAAAAATCATTTTTACCTCCCATATCAAGAATATTGTGAACTACAGTTACAGAAGCTTGAGTTTTGTGCTTAGAAATTCATATCAGTTCAACTGGAAAACCGGAATACTTCTATACAATGCTTTTGTAAGACCTAAACTAGAATATGCCTCAGTTATATGGAATCCCAACACCATTGTATACTCTGAAATGATAGAAAAAGTACAAAGGAAATTTCTGAGAAACCTTTACTACAGGAAACATAAAGAATCTGCTTTTATGATCTCATACAGAACTCAACTCATGGAATTTGAGCATAGAACACTAGAGTCCCGAAGAGATATCAATGATGTGCTGTTTGTTTCAGACATAATCAGTAATAAACTGAATGTACCTGATCTACTTAGTCAAATAAACATTCATGTACCTGAAGTAAAACTACTGAGAAGAAAAAATATTATCTTCTGCATAGCTGTTAAATCTTGCTCACCTTTTGGAAAATGCCAAAGAGCTGTAAATGAATATAACTGATATAGATATTTTTACATTTAGTTGTAGCAGAATAAAAGGCTGTTCTCCACCTTTTTAGTATCCTCAAAATCCTTAGAGGCTATATATGTTAATATTTTTGAAACGTCATGAACGTCTTGATTTTATATCTTAACTCAACTGTTTTTCCCAAAACTTGAGTGTATTGTAATCTTCCTGTGTAGTGTATTCTTCTTTTTTTTGTGTGTAGTGTATTTCACTGTAGGATAGGAATCAGATAGGAACTGTCTGTCTGTAATTGGGCCATGGCCTGTTGATTTGGCAGTATAAATAAATAAAGTGATATAAATAAAGTGATATATTGACTAGTTTTGTTTCAAATCTGAGATAATTTTTAGGTAATAGTTCTGAATTTTGCTCTCTGACTCTGAGTTTTGTATCTGAATCTTTTTGCTTCAACTAATTTTCTAACTCTCTATTTTTTTATTCTATTTGTTTCCTGAATTCCTCACTTTTTTCCACTGGTAAACCTTGGATTTTGAATATTCCTTCTCTAAAAATTCAATTCTCAAGTGTTTTTCTCTCAAAATATGTTAAAAATGAATTCCATTATCTGCAAGTTTTTTGTTTCTTATTGGTTCTATATTGGAATGAGGTTCTTTTAGATACTCGCCCAGTTTATAAATTGTGGGTTTGGCTCTTTCTCTCAATATGATCCAATTATTCAACATCAAATCATTCTGAAGTGTACCTGATAAAAATGCCTTGGAAAATGTTCTATATCCTACCAAGAAATTTGAATACCCAGCAAATTTTGTGACCTGAACCTATATTTCATGCCAGCTGCATCATATTATTATTCTGTTTCCATTTTTGTAGAATTACATGATCTGATGGAAATTAAAATAGAGTGAATTGATTTCCCTGTTCCCACAGTTCACAACTGAACAAACTTGCATCTTTCTCCTAATTCTCTCAATTTATTTGTGGTTATGTCTGCTTGTCATAGTGTCCATAATCTAATATACAAAAAACTTCCAAACAGCAGTTTCAAGTACATTTAGAAACTCAAGCATGGGGTAGGTGAGACAACTTACAGATTTAATGGTGCTCAGAATTTGTTCTTCTTGTTGGCTCCACAAAGCCCTATCCTGTACAGCAGCTATCATGTCTGGGTGGAGATTCCTCATTGCTGTTATGGCAACTCTAGAAACTGACTGGTCATATAAGAGAGCATACCATCTCTGCTGTAATTCCTGTACAGTGAACTTGCAAGAAAACTTTGTTCCAAGATGCACAGTACGTAAATCATTGGTTTGTTGAACACCAATAATCAGTGCTAGGTCATCAATTGGCTTCCACCGTCCAAGGTCTTTGGCAGTGAATTGGCTGCCTTGTCTGCCACTTTTTCTACCTCTCTTGCCAGGTAGAGTTCTGGAGAGGTGTTTTCTTTTAGGGTCAGTATAAGTCTGTGATGTTGATGGTTGTACTATAACTGGAGGTGTGGATGGAGACGCCACTGAGAATTCGGAGTGAGAAGAATGTGTGCGGGCTCTACCACTCTGTGAGAACTTACAGTCAAAGTTGATTAATGCATATAAAATGCAAGATAGCTCACCTTTATATTTGATATTCCTGGCATTCCCAAACTATATTCTACTAGCTCATCATCGAATTTCCTACGTTTGATAGACCTGTTTGAACTGAAAATTGCAGAAAAACAATTAGAACCCTAAACCGACTGAGAGAGGTTAGGACTTTACCTTCTACGCCTAGTTACGTCAGCACTTTCGTTAAAATGGCTTTGAGAACTCAATCCGTATTCGTGGCTATGCAGGTATTCAGAATCATGAACCATGTCCATTGTTGAAAAAATTGTGATATTATTTGTTGATAAATCAAAACAATCCAAAAATCCAAAACAATGGAAGATCAAAGATCTCAAAACCCAAACTAGCAAGGTTAATCTTGTCAATGACAATGTCATTGTCATTGCATTGTGGCACTACCAACTTGAAGACTCATAAATTCGTTTTGCCCATATACATGTATCGACCATTTCGTGGCCATTCCTAAAGATTAGAGTGCCTCGAATATCTCATTTCAGCCTGAGTGTGGACACCATATAATATGTACTATTTCTAGATGTATGGTGGACACACTTCTCATATTGTTGAACAGCTGAAAAAAAAAACCATGGGACACAATGACACAAATATGTTTTATTTCTGACAGTGACATTATAAGCTTATATCGTCATAGTTACGATATCTATTATGAGGGTCATAACTCCCTTGGGATGTTATAGATGCTATAATTCCCTCTAGCTAAAATTAAATAAGAAATGCATAGCAACAACCATGCAATAACGTAGCAATAAGGAATCTCCTATTCGCGGTAGTCAAGATCATCATCTGACGTTCTGATGACATTGAAACTATACGGAAAAACATGTCTAACTTCCCATCGGGAAGGTATCTAATGAATGAAATCAGTCAGAAATAAAATTATCTATGTATCACGGGAATTATAGAGCCTCAATAACCTCTGGCAATTGCTGTCCCTCGGGCCAGAGGCCCTCGGGACGCAAACTTTGCCATCGGTAATTAAGGCCCTCATAATTCCCTTAATACATAAATAACTATATTTCTGACAGTGACATTATAAGCTTATATCGTCATAGTTACGATATCTATAATGAGGGTCATAACTCCCTTGGGATGCTATAGATGCTATAATTCCCTCTAGCTAAAATTAAATAATAAATGCATAGCAACAACCACGCAATAACGTAGATATAAGGAATCTCCTATTCGCGGTAGTCAAGATCATCATCTGACGTTCTGATGACATTGAAACTATACGGAAAAACATGTCTAACTTCCAATCGGGAAGGTATCTAACGAATGAAATCAGTCAGAAATAAAATTATCTATGTATCACGGGAATTACTGAGCTTCAATAACCTCAGGCAATTGCTGTCCCTCGGGCCAGAGGCCCTCGGGACGCAAACGTTGCCATCGGTAATTAAGGCCCTCATAATTCCCTTAATACATAAATAACTATTATCGGCACAGTTAGAAAGAAACTGCTAGTTTCACTATTTTGAGTTGACGTGAACTGTTTATGCGATAATCTTGTTTCAGTTGAATACACTAGAGTCTTCACTCTTCAGGCGTCTTCGTAAAACCAATGATAACAAATTTATGTATATTTTGCGACTATTTGAGTCGTTGCTGACACGTTAGAGATAAAAGTAGCTTGTTAGTGTGTAGGTATTGCAGCAAAGTAGCAGCAAAGTGAAGGTGAACTTATTACAGTCTCGGAAACTTTCAGAAATGTGAATTTCCATCAGGGCGACAGTAAACATTTCAATTTCGATTGTAGACAAACTGTAATGAGTTCACCTTCACTTTGCTGCAATCCCTCAACCATTGTCGATCTAAATGAAAACCTAGTAGGCGACCTAGTGCGAGGAGCTAAAGGTGAAGGTTATCATCTACAACGACAATGCCTCAACCTAGGGTCCCTTGATGCAAACTGACGTATTTGTCATCTTAACAGGGTACGGACAGATCCTCGTCTCCTCTCACTCTAAAGTGTTTGTGAAACAGTTATATAGTTCCATCCCTGTTCAATTCTGGGGATAAACACTAGATTTTTGACATTCATTGTTTTTTAGGTTATATTGAGGTCACTGGCGTATCATACGTAATTTCCATATGGAATTCCTGATTCAACTATACCAAGATATAGATGAAATCCTCTACTTTTAGAGTTTACTACTCCAGCATAATCTTTGCGAGGTAGGGAACATATAAATTGTACTGAAAGCTTAATGTATTTCACCAAAAGAGACTATTCATACACTATATACCAGGGTTGACTGAATTGACTGTATGAATTCTGATTTCAAGCTGAGCAGTAGTTTATCTATGAGCTGAATGAGCTGAGCAGCCTTATGATTGAGAAATGGTGAAAACCTAGATGTGGGTATCTAAACTACTGTACTCATGTCATGCGTGCTGAATATATTTCCGGAAATCCAACTCGGAGAAGAATTCATGGAGTGACTAATATCACACTATGTATAAAACTTCGTCTAGGACGAAAAGTAGCAGGCTGATAAAAAGTAACACATAAAATGTGCCGGAGTATAAAGAATATAATATACTTTACCCCCAAGTTATTTTTATGATTTTTCCGTCTCCCTTAAATAAAAAGTCATTTTCAAATAATTTATTGATGAAAGTAACAAAGAAGTAGGTATACAGTATAACTCATAGGCACGTTATTTTCACTCTTGCATCCTACATATTTTCAATTTGTGGTAGAGTAATAATTAAATAAACTAATGTGAAAAGTGCAGTTTTGAGCAGTGGTTATAACACTAGAAGTGAAATCTGGAGCCAATGCAGTTTTCGTGATATTTTCATAAAAAACATTATTATACAGAATTCGTACTCGGCTGATTAAAATCAGTTTCATTGACTTCAGTGACCCACAATTCGGTTAGAAATATATTGCTATTTTGTGAGAGATTGCTGCACATACCCTTCAGCGATATTCGTAGACTTCCAAGCAATGTCTCCTCCAGAATTTGCAAATAAACTTGAATTTTCCAAGTTTGACAAAAAAATAATTATCTCCAACCCCGGAAAACTCCGATGCCTTCCAATTTCGAATAGAGTCGGATCATAATTACAATACTCGTTCGCCATATGATCTTCCTCAACAAGTAAATACCCTGTACATACCTATTATTAAAATTCTGAATGATTTTCTGTAGCGCTCATGGATGTGACGTGACAGCAATGTCAGGGATGCCAGTAGACAAAACTAAAGTCTCTAGATCATTAAAAAAGAATGCAGCTATGATCTGTCCGTACCCTGTTATGATGACTTTAACGTCAATTTCCATCAAGCGACCCTACCTCAACCATTGTCGTTCTAAATGACAACCTAGTTAGCTAGTTAGTAGGCAGGAACTTATTATACCTCCTCGCACAATGCCTCAACTAGCAATCTAGTTTTATATAAATATATATATGTATACTATACTGTGGATCTTTCACCAGTACTTCACATTTTCCCCAGACTTTCAGAAATGATGACATCATTCTGAGTGGCCCAACGAAACGAACAACCCAAGTTTTCTGGTTGTTACAAAATGAAACAAAAAAAAAAGCTCAGATACGACACCTTCAAGTTTACTCATAGTATATAATATTTTGCCCTATATACAACCAGTAAACCACAATAATATTTAGAAAAGTCTCAAAAAGTACCTACGTATTTAGACAATTTGCTTGGCCTCCTTTTTAGACAAATTAATTAAGAAAGATATCCTTCAATATCTCATGATTTACTGAAGATAGCAACTTAGTTGTTGAAATACATATTTATAGGTTTTTCGAAATAATATTGCATTTATTGTATTAGGTATATACAGGTTGGCATTATTGAAATGAATACACATATTGAACACAGCAATATGCTGAAGTCTAACAAAAAATCCCATAATATTCGATTTTCCCATGTCTTCAAATTAACGAGATATTTCATCTCGAAAATTACGAAGGCGTAGAGAGGCCATCACATCATCTTATTTTTATTTCAATTTCGAGTTGTAACTCGGAATTCCGACTTGTAACTCGGAATTCCGACTTGTAACTCAGAATTCCGAGTTGCAACTCGGAATTCCGACTTGTAACTCAGAATTACGAGTTGCAACTCGGAATTCCGACTAGTAACTCGGAATTCTGAGTTGTAACTCGGAATTCCGAGTTCCAACTCGAAATTCCAACTAGTAACTCAGGATTCCGCTGAAGTTGTGATGCCTGAGCATGAACTTTTATTTCAGCAGAAGTGAAGTTTCTACAAAAATGGACTATTTTTGCAAATGTTAAAGTGCTGATGATGGAACCTGGAACCACTATATGATATGATATGTGAAATCATATGGTTCCTTTTTGAATTTGTAGGTATTTTAGGTACACCAGTCAGCATTTTGTGAATTCTGTATGTAGTTTTGTATTTGATTAGTTCCATAAAAAATATGTATTTATATAATTATCATTTGATCATTGTTTATTCTTGTTTCAATCAGATCACTGAATATAAAATAAATGTTCTATGAACATCTTTCCATGACATGTAGATCTTTTGTAATATACATATATTACCTACTGTGAAATAATATATAATGCAGGTATTTTTCATTTATTAAATAGGTACAATTTTGTTATACTTACTATATTCATCTTTTTTATAATAGATAAAAATAAATCACAACAAACAATGTATAAGTAGTAGGTATAATACAAAATATTCAACAGCAATTTTGGAGTTGAAAGAAACTGTAATTGTAGAATAACAACAATAATCGATCAGATGTTCACCTTGATTTTCACCAATAATCTTTTCTGTCTGCATTTCCCAGGACACTTTCTTCATTACACTATGAAATATGAAATGTTACATGATTTAATGAACATACCTAGATACCAAGTTTAGCAAGGAAGCAAGAATTTATGATTGAAGTAAAGTAGGTAGATAATTAGATGTTTTCTTGAGAACATACCAGGTCTCTTGGTTCTGATGCATGATTGCTATCAATTCAATCTGCTCTCAATTTTCGATCCACATCAGTCTTGCATTTTGAATGGCCTAGAGATTGATGACTCATATGCTGCTATGGGACCCAAGATGGGTGATTTTTATCTTTCTATATTATGTTATTTCTATTGTTCCAAACTCTGTATTGGACCATCAAGTTTTGATTCACTTTATCCAAAATGAAAGTTTTCAATCACAGGAAACACTGAATTCATCAGTTCAAGTAGGTCGGTAAAAAACTCTTTTCCTAATAGGTACCTGTTATGAAGTATCTGATACATATCCATTAGTTTCTTATCGAAGTTTCCTTTTTCTTCTTGCTAGGTCGTTTATCTGTGGGTGATATGCTTATTATCAATGAGTATGCACAGTTTTTATAATATTAGGAATGTGAAAACACTAAGCAAATGGTCCTGATTTACATATGGCATCCACAATCCACCACAATACACGTTACTGGTATTTTTTCTTTAAAATCATCATATCAAAAGTTTTTACGTTTACACTAATCACAAATCTACCCAAGACCAGGCCCTGATTAAGAGTTCTGACCGCCCTAGGCTAATTATGAGGACGCGTCCCCGCCATGAGTATTACGGTCGGCCTAAAAAGTAGTATATTAGTCTTGATTTTGTTGTGTTGTGTAAAAATTTTGACATGGTTCATACTACCCCCCGTTTTAACTTCATCAAAATGAAATTTTTGTTTCTTTCTTCTTCTTATATCTTTCTTGTATGTGGTCACTTCACATCTCTTGATTACCTCTGATTCAAAATTTTCTCATGAAGATTAACAACGTTAGATAAATTAAGAGAACTTGCTTGTAGCTGTGCACTAACGATTTGAAACTTCGTGAGCACAGAGTTCCAAAAGCACAACATTATTGTAATTTCTAGAGTTTTAATTCTTTCTAATATTGCTTTTGCTTCTATTTTGGTTTCTTTACTTTGATTTTCATCTTCACAAATAGAGTTTAATGCTTCCAGAACTTGTTTGTATGAACTGTATAAGGCTCGGCTTGCATCTGCTCGCGCACTCCATCGAGTTTTTGATAGATTTTTTAGTACCGTCGATTCTTTATCCAATTTGGATAACAAAATTTGCCATCTGCTTGTAGATCCAGAAAAAAAATTGTATACTTGTTGTTCAAGGGTGAAAAAAGCAGCTGACTCGTCACTACTCTCCGCAGCAGCCGATCCCACGAGTTGGAGAGAATGCACTGCACAAGAAACAAAAGTAGCCAAAGGATTTACAGCTCTAATTCTTGACTGGAGACCTTTGTATTGACCAGACATATTGCTAGCATTATCATAACTTTGACCACGACAGTCTTCAATATCAAGTTCCAAAGTTTTATCAATTGTCGCGAGAACAGCCTTCTCCATGTCTTCACCTTTATGACCGCAATTGGGTAAAAATGTGACAAAGCGCTCCGTCAGGCGAAACATAACGAATTATGAATGTCAACTGATCGGTGTGTGAAATATCTGGAGTAGAATCAATGCTAATCGAATAATATTTTTTTTTATTTCTCCTATATATAAAGGGCGCCGTACATTATGCTATTTACCAGCAAGTTCGATGCAATGCAATTTTGAATCGAACAATGCGCATGCGTCTATGATATTTCACGGCAAGTTTCATGCAAGTTTCGTAATAGAACCAGTCCTATTTTTCCTGCAATTTCAAGGCAAGTTTAGTGAAATTTTTAGTAATATCCATCGTAGCATCTTGATAAAATACAAATTTTCTCCATAACGTGGCCTGAAACACCAAATAACCTCAAAAAGTACATTGAAGGCTCAAAAAACCTAAAAATAGTGAATATGAACAAGAAAATATGACAGAAATATTTCAATGTACGGCGACTCGCAATAAATTCATAAAATTGCGAGAAAATTGCATTGCCTCAAACTTGCCGAGAAATAGCATAGTGTAGGTACGGCGCCCTTTTAAGTATAATACATTCATCGATTATAGAGGATGACAAGTACGATGGAGAACCTTTGCCCTTTTGTCCAAATCTCACCAAATGTTCAGCTATGAAAGAATCAAATTCAGAAATAAGCTCGATACAGCCAAGAAAATTTCCGTTTAGTGCAGATCCAATAATTTCATTTTGACCGTAAAATGGAAGCCCACGAGAAGCTAAAAACTTGACTGTTTCAATTACCCGTAGTAATACATTTCGCCAATAAGTTATTTCTTCATTATAATGTTTGACTATTTGGGTATCCAATCGTTGTAAAATTTTACCTCTACATACATATTGTCCCTAACATTTACGATGATCCGGAGAACTGTCATGATCAGTTATTAAGTTAGAATTTTTCCAAATACGGATGTTCCTCCATATAATTTGCAAGGACCACAAAACACGTGACCCGTGGATTCTGAGTATACTAACCAGCTTCTCTTCACAATTTCTTCATCAACAAGCTTTTTCTCAAACATATTTTTAGATATCTTTCTTGATTTTTATACTGCCTTTCTGATCTGGAAAAATCTGATTCTTCGTTTTGTTGCAGTCCATTTTTAACAATATAATCTCGAAATTCATCATTTACTTTCCACAGAGCAGGGTCACTACTTGACGGAATAGACGGCTCTTCTTCTATTAGAATTTCATCCTCATTGTAGATCGTCGGCGTCGTCGATACTTTAGGGCTAGTGTTGGACGCAGAAACGTAAGAACAGTCCGCGGTAGAGGGATCAGGGCAAGAAATCGCTGGCGATAGTGCAGAATTCGTCACCGTTTCGTTCCTTTCTGCAGAGCTGGTGAAAAATGATTCTAGTTTACGAGTATGTTTTAAAATGTTTTCTATCTTCTTTTCTTTTTCTTTTTTTTTGTATTCAGGTATGTTCATGCTTGTACGAATTCCGCAAAATTTATGCGAATCGCAAAATATGAAATTTCCGACAGAATTTGACGTTCATACTCATGCGACAAAATATGCAGGAGATAAGGGTTCTGTTGTGATATTAATTTCTTCTGGTCCCACCATTGGTAAGAGTTCATCAAATTGAAGGCACGTTACACGAAAGTAAAAATATTTATTAGGGTCATTCAGTCGCCTTTATCGAACGAGTCTGTACTAATACTAATCTCCATTAATTCTTCGGCATTTAAAAATGCTTCGAACAGTACAGCTCCTTATGCTTCTGGATACATCATTAGTTCTATAGAGACGATACAGATGAAAAAAATTTAATCAAATGAAGAAATTATGAAATTTTTAATTATCATTCTGTACTCACCTGTAGTCTATTGTCTAGTGTCGTCTTTTTTCGACCTCTGCAGTCCGCTCTTTAATTACCCAATTTTGATGTTCAAAATAACAATACATATTATGTGGTTATGATTCCATCCGAATTCGCACAAAAGTTCAAATATTTCAACTTCATTGCGATATTCGCAGTCGCCATTTTATTCGCATGAATTTTGCGGAATTCGTACAAGCATGAACATACCTTTCTGCTCCACTTGGCTTTTTAACAATCGAACTACTTTCATTACCACTCATAAACACGGAAACACTAAGGAGTGGACAATAAATTTCAATTACCAAAAACGAATATATGTGAGCGCGTGATATAACGGACAACGGACGAACGATTAGATGGTTCCGAAAGAGAAGGAAGGCAAATTAAATGAATGCAGCGAGGTAATACGGCAAAGTAACAAAGTATACTAAAATCACCGGGGAGTCCCAGCACGACGTTGATGTGTTTCATCGCGCGAGGCGAGCTGCACACTGCACTATTGCCAGCTCACTCACTCGCAGCTCACCAACCGATTCGAGTGACAAGTGTTTGTTTTACGCGCGCTTTTTGAAATTTCAAAATTCATTGTTAAAATCAGGGACTATCAAGCGCATTTAGTTTTAATGATGCTAGATTAGTGCATGCGAAGACACGATTTTAGCGCGTCTTACGCGCCCCCCCCCCCCGATCTTCGCGCCCTAGGCTGCAGCGTAATCAGCCTAATGGTTAATCAGGCCCTGACCAAATCTAAATAATATACTCAAAGAAGCTTTCAAAATACATAAGTAAACAAATGTGAAACTGTCACTCGTGTTTAGTTAACCAAATTAACAATTGAAAATGAAAAATACGCAGGCGCAAAAGTCCATTCCAAGAAACTCAAGATAGCGATAGAAATTTCTTTCATAATATTTTGTACACAAATTTGGGATATTGCTATCACAAGTGGGGCCAATACTAAAAAATAATAGAAATTATGAAAAGTAAAAACGAACACAAAACCGAGAAATGTTTTGAGGTGTTATAAACATCTTATCTCCATCATAGGATGGACCAATCCTCGATCATCTACAAGGTCATCTGCGTACTAGTTGCGCACAATAAGAAAACCTGGTTCAATTAATGTAAAAAGTTAAAAGTTGACCAACCTTCTATATTGTTAATTGTCTGCATGAACACATTGATTGAAAATAAGTAGGTAGTCCCGGTCTCCAGTCCAGCCCCTCCCCTCCACTTTTCTCCAAACCACGTGACTCGGCCGACCAATCACAGGCCGGCCTGACTCGGCTAGCTACTCGCGGCCTAGCGAACGGGTCGTCATCATCGGTTGGACTGCGATAGATCCGTTCTAGAGATAACGGCGCGCATTTTATTCCATTTTTCAACAACGGTTATATACAGGGTGTTTGAGTTGGGTAATAGTTGGAAAAAAAAAATATAGGGTGAACCCAAAAAAGGCGTTATACCTCTCCGACCTACATATAAAAGGCTACCCGCTATAACATGATATATACAGGGCGTCAACGGCTATATACAGGGTACTTGAGTTGGGTAATAGTTGGGAAAAAAATATAGGGTGAACTCAAAAGGCGTTATACCTCTCCGACCTACATATAAAGGCTACCCGCTATAACATGATATATACAGGGCGTTTGAGTTGGATAGCAATCAAAGAAAAAATATACTGGACGCCTCACCCACTTTTGCGGGATTAGACAGCTGACGTATTACATTTGACAGATGACCAAAAAAAACGCTATCATACATCAATACTAGACAAAGCTCTTTGAGGTTATGTTCCATTTCAGACATTCGGTATAGCAAATTTATTTATTCTTTCTATGGTATGTTTTAACTCGTACAGCAATATATAATAATATAGTGCCACTGAATGATCAAGACCTCTATGTCATGTTGACATGTTAATATTTGGCAGGGATAATCAACACTTAGGAATATTATACATATGGTGCCCCACTGAAAAAAGGAATTTCTTTTCGAGCCACCCTGTATAACATTGACATTTTCAGTTCGTCACCCCAGTTTCAAAATTATCGCATGTACGTGGGATACAATAGATTTTGACATTTCTTCGAATAATATACACAGAAAATAGATGTTTGGCATTAGAATTGAAGGGAATTGACAAAGATTGTTGGGTGAAAAATGGAGGGGGGTGTGTTTGTTTGCCAATAATTTTAAATTATTGCCCAGCATACACCACGAGGAGGTAAACACACGTATGCCACAGGGAAAATTATTAACAACTATTCAAATCAACACAGGTGTGTGACACATTACGTAATGTGACAGTTTTTAATTTTAAACCTTTTCACAGATGAGGCTAAAATCGATAGAGACGCTTGATTATTTTGTGCCCCAATGATGAAATGAACAGCTGTTAATAATAGGGACAGGCGGGAGGGATGTTGGGAGGGGTAAGAGGGTAGAGGAAAGGATTGAAAGGTAAACAGAGTCATAGTATAGGTCCAAGCTCTAAAAATTTCACTAAATAATTTCGATGTAGAACAGGTGACTGTTGATATACTCAGAGCAGTTTTTGTTAGTTCTACTTCTGACAGCGCGAAGATTGATTTCTAAATCAATAGAAACACTTCATTAATTTGCCAGATAATGCCCATTGTTTTTTTTTTCAGTAGAACAGGTGACTGTTGAAATATAAAATCAGAGCAGTTTTTGTTTGTTCTACTTCTGACAGCACGAAGATCGATTTCTAAATCAATAGAAACACTTCATTAATTCGTCAGATATTGCCTCTTTTTTTCTTGGAACAAACGCCTGTTGAAGCTATCATCAGAGCAGTTTGTTTGTTCACTTATATGCTGATTATAATGATAATAAACCGGAAGTTGGGATCTTTTTATCGAAAATATTTAATCAAATCTTAGCCGCTTGGACGATAATGGATTATTCATTTTAGCCGTGAAAACAGCTGATTTGTGTTCAAACGTTCAATGTTGTGTCGTTTTGAGTTTTTGATTTCTTGAAGCCATACGGTGTGGAGGTGTTGTCAGGATGGAACTGTCGTTTGAGGCATACAGGTTCGTACTTTTTCACAAGATCGGTCGTAATGACCTTATGCTCCTTCGTACGTCGAATCTGATTGCTCAAGATGTTGAGCGGCGGGCCAGGGTTCAAGATCATAGTTTTGATAGATTCAAAATTAATCACTTGGGACGCGGCATAATTTAGAGATAGACCTCTAACCTTGCATACAATTTTGAAGTCACGGTCTTTGGTGGACCAAAGCTTGTATGCGTAATTCTTCGGTCCACCAGATACAAACTCTGAAATATAGGAACCAGGGCCGTAACATTCTAATTCGTCGGTCATATCACCAATAAACTGCCCCGAAGGGATGTCATGCTTCCCAGGTCTGGACACATAGATTACCGAGTCGGTGTCATAATACAAGACTCTATCCCCAAGTTGTTCCAAATAGCTGAAAAGTTTTAGCCGTGCCAAAGCCGTGACATAACCGGCTATTACGACATTTACCGTGGACAGAGTCTCGTAGCTTTCCTCTTTATACTCCCAATTAACAATGAGAGTATCATCGTTAATTGGCAGTATTGTGTTGATAATGATAGAGGGATCTGTCATCATGGAAAAGAATTCCGAGGGTTGGTTGACTATTGATGTTTTGGGCTGGTTTTCTCGCTGACCAAACTTACCCCAGAAGGAATTTAGCATAAGCTTGGCCAGTGCTCTCAACCCGGGATTATCGGTGATTTTAGAAAATTCCAGCAAAACATCCTCCCGTTGTAAAAACTCATCAATATACCGATCTTTTTCCTCCTTGGTCTTGCAATATTTAGGCCAATCTGACGACTCCTGCTTCACCTTGATGAACTTGTTCATCATATCAGTGAATAGACCGGAAACATTCTCGCCAGATTGTATAGTATCATAAGACCAAATCTCTATGGTCTGTAAAATGCGATAACCCATACCAACAGCTTTTACAACCTCTTCAGCCACCCAAGTACCTGTCAATGCTCGCTCTTCATCGGTGTGGTGACAGCTATGTGAATTATAGCCCTCACCACACAGGCGACAAAGTACAAACATCAATTTATCGTTCATTTTCTGTGGCAGAACAGGGTGAAAAAGATTTTGGGGCGGGAGAATCTTACATTTCACGAGTCCAGAGATAGAGGAAAGTGACACAGTAGAAGCCTCCTCACCAACGAGTACTTTCGGATGACCCACAGGAAAGTTGCCATATTTACACACCCATGGGTAGAGCGAACAAACGTCAACGTATTTAATTTGTTCACCATCCCCGGCCTTGTAATATTCGACAATGTTTCCCGTTCGGCCACCATAGAAAGCATCTCGAGGATCGAGGGGTAGATTTTTAAGCAGGGGATGATTGGTGACAAAGTTGCAAAGTTCGTCACCACTGGAAAGTTCCTTGCGAAAATCACACTCCCATTTTTCAATAACTTCATACCCTAAGGATTTGATTTTATTGATTTTTGCAATGGTTGTGTCATAGCGATTGCTCATAGTCTCGGAAGGGCAGTTTTTGAGAGGAATATCTCTCTGATCAGTGAAGCAACGAGGACAGCCATGGTAGAAGCAGCCTTGAAATTCGAAAACTTGTTTTGTTTCCGCCGAATAGCCATCAACTTTGAGATTACCTATATGGGCCTCTGAAGATCGGCAGGCCTGTTGGATTTTTATATCCCGTAGTTTCTCCTCCCAAAGTAACCACTGTGTAGCTATTACAGATTGATTATCTCGGTGTCTGTAGCCACCCTTGGGGATGATACCGATGGTATTGGGCTTGAGGAAGTTCCGACGAAACACCTTATTGCAGGTGGAAGCTATTGTCACAGCCTCCGTAAACGGACACACATTTGTCTCTTTCAACATAAGTTGGCGAAACTTCAAGCATGCCTGAGTCAAAATATCGACATCCGAAATACAATAGTCTATAAGCTCTCGAGAAAAATCGAAAACATAACCCTCGGAAATCTTTTGAGAATGCCAGCTCAATAGCTTTTCACGATCTTCAGCTTTCAATGTGTCCGGGGAATACAACTCAACGGCCGGCATTGGGCCAACATAATTCTGGTTTTCCATACGATTGAAGAGGTGGGGGAAATACCCCTTTTTCAATTCGGAAAATCCAAAAGATTTGGGAAGTTTGCTTAAGGCCATAGGAAAATAGTTTAGAGAATCCAAAAACTTTACGTTGCCAACGGTCATCGAAATTATTTTTGTACCCCTCATAATGAGTTCGGGTGTGAGTTGAGTCTGTGTCAAGATATAGTTCAAAATAAATTGTACGTCGTAGCTTCCCCCGTTGTGAGCTATAACTACTACGTTCTTGAACTTCTTCCTCAGTGTAAGCAAATGATGGACAAATGGG